GTAATAATTGCAAAAAGATTATTTTTCACCCCAAATAAGTGATTTTAGGTTTACATATAATGTGTGAAATTTGACAATTTTGCTGGTCTTTTCTTTGCCAGTTACACCCCAATTAGGTTGAAAGTAGAGATTTTTTGAGAAAGCTCACTTTGCACACAACTTTTATCACAAATTTTTCTTCAGTATTTGAGTACTTGTGAGTATTTGAGTACTTGTGAATATTTGAACCAAATAGTTGAGTTTTGATTCCACACAAAATTGCCATCCCTAAAAAATACCCATTTCTTATCTAGTCAATGTTAAAGCTATGATACATTTGGATAATGGCCATTAAATCCTATAGCTAGAAATTAAGGCTTTATATAACATACTCCATTAGACTTTATAATTGGAAATATAAAATATAAAGCACTTTACAGTGTAATACCAACTGCGTTGAAACAAAGATTGACTTTGTGATACAGCCATATATGATAATGATGTTAATGAGGCTGTGTAAATTTCATTGTTTCATAGCATATTGTTTTCATAATGTTCAGTGGTTATTATTTCATACACATTCAAGAAAAAGTAACTATACAGTAAATCTGTTCGCTTGTTTTTAAAAGTGAATTGACAGAGAGGATAGTGATGACATTTGACTGTCACTTTTAAAATTAGGTATGTTGGGTACATTAAAATTTGAAAAATTAGTAAATTTAAAAATTTTGCCATGCAACAGGTGACCTTTGAATCCATAATTACTTCTTAGCTTTAAGAACTGTTGGATTAAAAGGATTAGTTAAGAAATACCCATATTATTCTATCCAGAAATCATTCAGATTTTAATTTTTAATGTATCATAATTGTACCATTCTAAACTGTTTTTTGTTGCTTTATGGAATTTTCAATAGAAATACCAGGCATCTGTCTATTCAACTGTACGGTCTTGTAAGCGCTCTCACATGTGCAATTCTTGACAGATTTTTATCAAACTTATATCATAGGTTTATATCAGCCATATCTTGGACATGTTCAAAAATAAGTGCCAATCAATAATTTTTAAGAGTTATGCCCCTTGGAAATATTAATTATATTGAAAATTGCACTGTAAGTGCTCTCACATGTACAATTCTTGCCAGATTTTTATCAAACTCATGTCAAAGGTTAAAATAAGCAATGTCTAGGACAAGTTCTAAAATCAGTGTCGATCAATTTTTTATACGGCCGCAAAAAAATTTTGAGGTCGTATATTGGTATGACGTTGGCGTCGTCGTCGTCGTCGTCCGAATACACAATGGTTTTCGCACTCTAACTTTAGTTTAAGTGAATGGATCTCTATGAAATTTTACCATAAGGTTCAATACCACAATAGGAAGGTGGGGATTGATTTTGGGGGTTATGGTACCAAAGTTAAGGAATTAGGGGCCAAAAAGGGGCCGAAAATAAGCATTTTTGTAACTTCCAGACATAACTTGTGTGTTAGCATATGGATCTCTTTGACATTGTACCACAAGATTCCATATCACAAAGGGTCAATGCTGGGATTGATTTTGGGGTTAATTGCCTCAAAATTTTAGGAATAAGGGGCCAAAAGGGGGCAAAAAACAAGCATTTTTCTAGTTTCATGACAATAACTTGTGTGTAAGTGTATGGATCTTTCTGAAATTTTACTACAAGGTTCCATTTCACAAAGGGAAAGCTGGAATTGAGTGTTGTGGTAATTGCCCAAAACGTTTAGTAATAAGGGGCCTAAAAAGGGGTTTAAAATAAGCATTTTTTAGTTTCTAGACAATAACTTGTGTTCAAGTGTATGGATCTCTCTAAAATTGTATTACAAGGTACCATACCACAAAGGCAAGGCTGTTATTGAGCTTGGTTTGGGGGGAAAGGGGGGGTGGGGGTGATGAATCATAAGGGGGGCGGGGGTCAAAAAAGGGGTAATTTTTTTTTTCCTTTTTTTTTTGTTTAAAATTTACATTTTAAGTTAGTTATTTTTTATCACGAAGAGAAAGTAGGAATTGAGTTTTGGGGTTAATTGCTCAAACATTTATGAATAAGGGGCCAAATATTGGTCAAAAATAAGGATTTTTTTAGTTTGCAACAAAAACTTGTGTTCAAGTGTATGGATCTCTGTGAAATTGTATTGCAATGTACCATACCACAAATTGAAGGTTGTGATTGAGGTGGGGGATGATGAATCAAAAGGGGGTCGAAAAAATGTGTGGGAGGTAGGATTTTTTTTTTTTCCTTTTTTTTTCTTTAAAATTTTCCATTTAAAGATGGTTGTTTCAGATTTATATATGAAAGAAAATAATAATGATACGGTTATATATCATGAGGAATTGAAATTTAAAATTATGTATATTGGAAATTTAGGTTACATTGGAAAGTAATAATTGGCTTTGGTGGGGGGGGGGGGGGGGTGGTTATGGCTCTAATGTTTAAGGAATAAGGGGAAAAAAGGTTAAAAAACAAGGGTTTCCATTTTAATAGACAAATAATTGAGTAAAGAACATTATTTAAAAGCAGTGTAAGGTTGGTAATTCAAACTCATTTAAATATCTCATCTACACTGCTTTTAAATTATGTAAATTGGAAATTTGCCAATAACTTTATTGTTAATAAATGCATTGGAAATTTGCCAACAATTTTAGTGTAATAAACTTCATTGGAAATTTGCCAATATAAAATTTTGCTGATGAAGGTTTTTTGTTTACCTTTAGCCTTGACTATGAAGTCATTTTCTATTTTTATAGCCTTATGATGTAGTTGAATTATTTAATACTTTTATGATGTGTTTAAATGGGGTTTTATCATGTTTATGGTTGCAAATTTATTGTTTTAGTATAATAAACTCCATTTAAAATTTGCCAATAAAAAAAAATTTTGTTTATTTTTAGCTATGATTATGATGTCATTTTCTATTTTACTTTTATGGTTGCAAAGAAATTTTTATTTTTAGATATTACTGTTAAATGATGCTGATTAAGGTTTTTGCTATGTTTAGCCATGACTATGATGTCATTTTCTATTTTAATATCTATTATGATGTATTTAAATGGGCTTTTATGGTTACTAAGGAATTTTATTTTTAGATATTACTATAAAATGTTGCTGATGCTGAATAAGGATTTTGTTTATTTTTAGCCATGACTATGATGTCATTTTCTATTTTAATACCTTTATGATGTAATTTCCATTTTTAGATATTACTGTTAAATGATGCTGATTAAGGGTTTTTTGCTATGTTTAGCCATGACTATGATGTCATTTTCTATTTTAATATCTTTATGATGTATTTAAATGGGCTTTTATGGTTACAAAGGAATTTTATTTTTAGATATTACTTTAAATGTTGCTGATTAAGGATTTTTGTTTATTTTTAGCCATGACTATGATGTCACTTTCTATTTTAATACCTTTATGATGTATTTAAATGGGCTCCCATGTATTTAGATTTTTGATTATTTATACATGTTACCAAATTGGTCCACATTGAACAAAAACGGTCCAAATTTCAACTTTATTACATTACATCAAACATTGAATTCTACATATTCCTTGATATATTGAAATTAACAAACAATTTAGTTTATGGATATTCCACCATAATAGGTAAATTAAATTTTTTCCAGTTCTTACACCACATTCATCCTGTGTCAGAAACCTATGCTGTGTCAAATATTTAATGACAATCCAAAGTCATAGCTGTATCAAGCTTGAATTTTGTGTCCATACTTGCCCCAACTGTTCAGGGTTCGACCTCTGCGGTCGTATCAAGCTGCGCCCCAGCGAAGCATTTTATTTTAAAGAGTTATGCCACTTTGAAATATTAATTAAATGGAAAATTGCAATTTAAGTACTTTAATGTGTACAATTCTTGACAGATATATAATAAATTTATATCAAAGTATTTTATCAGCATTGTCTCTGACAATTCAGTGTCTATCAACATTTTTTTTTATGCCCCACCTAGGGGCATTATGTCTTTCAGTCTGTGCGTCTGTTCGTTCGTCTGTCCATTTGTCCGTCCGTCTGTCCCGCTTCAGGTTAAAGTTTTTGGTCAAGGTAGTTTTTGATGAAGTTGAAGTCCAATCAACTTGAAACTTAGTATATATGTTCCCTATGATATGATCTTTCTAATTTTAATACCAAATTAGAGTTTTGACCCCAATAACATAAAAAAAATGATAGTGCGAGGGCAGGTTAAAGTTTTTGGTCAAGGTAGTTTTTGATGAAGTTGAAGTCCAATCAATTTGAAACTTAGTACACATGTTCCCTATGATATGATTTTTCTAATTTTAATGCCAAATTAGAGTTTTGACCCCAATTTCACGGTCCACTGAACATAGAAAATGATAGTGCGAGTGGGGCATCCGTGTACTATGGACACATTCTTGTTTAAATTATGTCCCTTGGAAATATTAATAGCATGGAAAATTGCAAGGTTTTGAGCTTTCAAACCTTCATTTCTCTGAGATATTTAAAAAAAGTTTTAAAGAACCAAAAAAAAAAAATTTCCCAGGACAGATAAAATATTTGCAACGTGGGGGACAATGGAACTCTGTTCTTTAATTTCTTAAAAACCTTAATAGAAAGATATAAACTGTAAAAATTATCATCAATACAAGACCTACAAAATGCATTAAGATAAGAACTACAAATAATTGAACATAAATGATTGCAATAAAGGAAAAAATAAATGTCAAAATGGCATTACAAGGTGAGCCATATAGGTAGGCTCTTGGGAGCCTCCTGTTCAATCATTTTAAACCATATTTGGAAATATTCTGAAACTGAGAACTTGAGATTAAAAGTGTATGTCTGTAGATGAAATAAGAGTTGGAAATATAATGTGAGAGATATCTGATCAATACATGATATGGCTATTTATAAGAGTTGCTAATTTCTTGAATTATATGTCTATTATTACATGTGTAAAATGTTATCAGGTAGCATAATAAGCTTCATAGATCCCTATATGATGATTTTAGCATAATATAACCATTTTTTTGCAGTCAAAAAAGATTCAGTCAAGACCCTTCAGTTTTGTTGTCCAGTGATGACCACGATTCAAGTGAAGAGGTAGGTTCCAAATACAGGTCTTGTGATTGTCTAGTGGAGATGTGTTTACAGAATTAAGGTAAAACTATTTCTTTCAAAAAATATGTGTAAAATGGTCACTTTTGGTCAGATATGTCAATTTCAATCACTATGGCATCATAGTGACATTACAAGTGATATTTCTGCACTTGTGTCCAGATTATATCAACGTTTCATTTATCATTGAAAGTAACATTATTATGAAAAACCTGAGAAGTTATACTACTGAAATATTGTCTCTTTCCATACCTCCTGCAGTGCCTCTGTTTATGTATTTTACACTTGGTTTGCCATGGAATATAATTTTGTATTAGAAAGTTGGTAAGGTAAATACAGAAAAAAATGTTTGGCTATAAAAATCAATTGTTAAGAATCAGATTGCTTTGAAAGATCTTTAAATTTGGCAACCAGTCATTAGCCTTATCCTGCATGATTCTTTGAAATTGGAAAATCGGAGAACCTAAACTGTGTTTGGTTTTAGGACTTTTGAAAGATACAGCTACAAAGAAAAGTCTTATTTTACTTTTATAAAACTGCATGATGAATGAAATAGTTCTATTTCCTTCCAAATATTTGCATATTGTGATATCTTCTTCTTTTGCTTCTGATGAATGATTCATTTTGTAGAAAAAAAGAGACTTCATCACATACATATAGTGACGATGTACCGGAGATAGATGTATATTATTACTTAAAATATGTGTTTTACTTTTGCAGGAATCAGTTGTACCATACAGTGAAGCAAAGAAGGTAATTTTCATTTGCAGTCATAGATTCCCCTTAAAAAAATCTCTACCTAGAATTTTTATGCCCCCGTCGAAGCAGAGGGGGCATTAAGTTTTACCCTTGTCCGTCTGTACGTACGTCCCAAAATTGGTTTCCGCTCTGTAACTTAAGTTTGCCTCAACCAAATGTTATGAAACTAATACACAATGCTTATTACCACAATACACAGATCAAGTTTGAATTTTGGTGGTGTCACTTTAACCCTTCTAGAGTTATGCCCCTTTACAAATGGAAAAATTGCTAAATTTTTCATTTTTAGCTTTTCTCATCACTTGGCATCCGTCGTCTTCGTCATCGTTAACTTTTTACATTTTGGACTTCTTCTAAAACACTGAATGGAACGAAACCAAACATGGCATGAATGTTCCTTATGAGGTGCTGACCAAGTGTTGTTACTTTGTAGTTGATCCATCATCCAATATGGCTGCCAGCGGGGACTTAGTTTAACATAAGACCCTATGGGAAATACATACAAATGTCTTCTTTTAGAGAACCAGTGAATGGAATGTAACTAAACATGGCATGAATGTTCCTTACGAGGTGCTGACCAAGTGTTGTTACTTTGCAGTCGGTCCATCATCCAAGATGGCAGCCAGCGGGGGACTTAGTTTAACATATGACCCTATGGGAAATACATACTAATGTCTTCTTTTAGAGAACCACTGAATGGAATGAAACAAAACATGGCCTGATTGTTCCTTATGAGGTGCTGACCAAGTGTTGTTACTTTGCAGTCGGTCCATCATCAAAGATGGCTGCCAGCAGGGGACTTAGTTTAACATAGGACCCTATGGGAAATACATACACATGTCTTCTTTTAGAGAACCACTGAATGGAATGAAACCAAACTTATACACAATGCTTATTACCACAATACACAGATCAAGTTTGAATTTTGGTGGCGTCACTTTAACCCTTCTAGAGTTATGCCCCTTTACAAATGGAAAAATTGCTAAATTTTTCATTTTTATACGACCGCAAAAATTTTTTTGCTGTCTTATATTGGTATGACGTTGGCGTCGTCGTCGTCTGGCGTCGTCCGAAGACACATTGGTTTTCGCACTCTAACTTTAGTTTAAGTGAATGGATCTCTATGAAATTTTACCATAAGGTTCAATACCACAAAAGGAAGGTTGGGATTGATTTTGGGGGTTATGGTACCAACAGTTAAGGAATTAGGGGCCAAAAAGGGGCCAAAAATAAGCATTTTTGTAACTTCCAGACATAACTTGTGTTTTTAAGTGTATGGATCTCTCTGACATTGTACTACAAGGTTCCATATCACACAGGGAATGCTGGGATTGATTTTGGGGGTAATTGCCTCAAAATTTTAGGAATTAGGGGCCAAAAAAGGGGCAAAAAACAAGCATTTTTCTAGTTTCATGACAATAACTTGTGTGTAAGTGTATGGATCTTTCTGAAATTGTACTACAAGGTTCCATAATACAAAGGGAAAGCTGGAATTGAGTTTGGGGGTAATTGCCCAAAACGTTTAGGAATAAGGGGCCAAAAAGGGGCCAAAAATAAGCATTTTTCTAGTTTCCAGACAATAACTTGTGTTCAAGTGTATGGATCTCTCTGAAATTGTACTGCAAGGTACCATACCACAAAGGGAAGGCTGGGATTGAGTTTGGGGGTGATGAATCATAAGGGGGTTCAAAAAATTTGGGGGGGGGGGGATTTTTTTTTTTTTCATTTTTTTTCTTTTTTTCTTTTTTTTTTCTTTTAAAATTTTCCATTTTAAGTTGGTTATTTCTGTTTTATATTTAAAAGCAAATAATAATGATATGATAGGAGATACACACCAAACAGGATGTGTAAATTATTATATAATAAGTATTGTGCAATAGCAAGAAATTTTCAATTGCACAGTATTGCACAATAGCAAGAAATCTTCAATTGCACAGTATTGCGCAATAGCAAGAAATCTTCAATTGCACAGTATTGTGCAATAGCAAGAAATATCCAATAGCACAATATTGCGCAATAGCAAGAAATTGTCAATTGTACAGTATTGCGCAATAGCAAGAAATATTCAATTGCACAGTATTGTGCAAAAGAAGATACTTCGTATAAATTGCTTATTTCTTGACCAATTTCAATGGGGTTTATTCTTGAATTCTTGGGGTTCTTTAATATGCTGATTCTAACCATGTATTAAGTTTTTGGATTTTGGGCCCCGTTTATAAATTGGTCCACATTGAGGTCCAAAGGGTCCAAAATTAAACTTTGTTTGATTTCATCAAAAAATGAATTATTGGGGTTTTTTGATATGCCGAATCTAACCGTGTATTTAGATTCTTAATTTTTGGTTCCGTTTTCAAATTGGTCTACATTAAGGTCCAAAGGGTCCAAAATTAAACTTAGTTTGATTTTAACAAAAATTGAATTCTTAGGGTTCTTTGATATGCTGAATCTAAACATGTTTTTAGATTTTTGATTATGGGCCCAGTTTTCAAGTTGGTCCAAATCGGGGTCCAAAATTAAACTTTGTTTGATTTCAACAAAAATTGAATATATGGGGTTCTTTGATATGCTGAATCTAACCATGTATTTATATTTTTGATTTTTGGGCCCCATTATCAACTTTGTCCAAATTGAGGTCAAAAGGGTCCAAAATTAAACTTTGTTTGATTTCATCAAAAATTGAATTCTTGGGTTTCTTTGATATGCTGAAACTAACCATGTATTTAGATTTTGGATATTGGACCATAATAGGTGAATGTCCAATTTAAAATTTTTAAGTTCTTAGACCACATTCATTCTGTGTCAGAAACCTATGCTGTGTCAAATATTTAATCACAATCCAAATGCTAAGCTGTATCAAGCTTGAATGTTGTGTCCATACTTGCCCCAACTGTTCAGGGTTCGACCTCTGCGGTCGTATCAAGCTGTGCCCTGCGGAGCATTTTATTAGCTTTTCTCATCACTTGTCGTCTTCGTCATTGTTAACTTTTTACATTTTGAACTTCCTCTAAAACACTGAATGGAATGAAACCAAACATGGCATGAATGTTCCTTATGAGGTGCTGACCAAGTGTTGTTACTTTGTAGTTGATCCATCATCCAAGATGGCCGCCAGCGGGGACTTAGTTTAACATAGGACCCTATGGGAAATACATACAAATGTCTTCTTTTAGAGAACCAGTGAATGGAATGTAACTAAACATGGCATGAATGTTCCTTACGAGGTGCTGACCAAGTGTTGTTACTTTGCAGTCGGTCAATCATCCAAGATGGCAGCCAGCGGGAGACTTAGTTTAACATAGGACCCTATGGGAAATACATGCAAATGTCTTCTTTTAGAGAACCACTGAATGGAATGAAACAAAACATGGCCTGATTGTTCCTTATGAGGTGCTGACCAAGTGTTGTTACTTTGCAGTCGGTCCATCATCAAAGATGGCTGCCAGCTGGGGACTTAGTTTAACATAGGACCCTATGGGAAATACATACACATGTCTTCTTTTAGAGACACTGAATGGAATGAAACCAAACATGGCATGAATCTTCCTTATGAGGTGTTGACCAAGTGTTGTTACTTTGTAGCCGATCCATCATCCAAGATGGCCGCCAGTGGGGGACTTAGTTTAACATAGGACCCTATGGGAAATGCATACATATGTCTTCTTTTAGAGAACCACTGAATGGAATGAAACCAAACATGGCATGAATGTTCCTTATGAGGTGCTGACCAAATGTTGTTACTTTGCAGTTGGTCCATCATCCAAGATGGCCGCCAGCGGGGGACTTAGTTTAACAAAGGACCCTGAGGTAAATACATACAAATGTCTTATTTTCGAAAACCACTGAATGGAATGGAACTAAACATGGCATGAATGTTCCTTATGAGGTGTTGACCAAGTGTTGTTTCTTTGCAGCCGATCCATCATCCAAGATGGCCGCCAGCGGGGGGACTTATTTTTAACATAGGACCTTATGGGAAATACATACAAATGTCTTCTTTTAGAGAACGACTGAATGGCATGATCCAAACATGGCATGAATGTTCCTTATGAGGTGCTGACCAAGTGTTGTTACTTTGCAGTCCGTCCATCATCCAAGATGGCCGCCAGGGGGGGGGGGGGGGACTTAGTTTAACATAGGACCCTATGGGAAATACATACAAATGTCTTCTTTTAGAGTACCACTGAATGGAATGAAACCAAACATGGCATGAATGTTCCTTATGAGGTGTTGACCAAGTGTTGCTATTTGTTGCCGATTTACTATTCAAGATGGCCACCAGGATATTTTATTAAATAACGGGACCAATATTAAATCAAATTTGGCCTCAATCATTATTTGGGTATCTGTTATGATTTTTATCTTTCTTTACATGATTTCTAAAACCAAAGTAGTGTCAGGTGAGCGACACAGGCTCTTGAGAGCCTCTAGTTTTTCTAAAAATATCAATGATGTATATTGTTCAAGTAATTTTTAAAATTGGAGTTATCTTCCTTTGTCCATGATCATAGTTGAATCAACTTCAATCAATGCTTTATACAATGCAATGTTTAATTTTGCCTTCCACTGATAAAACACAGATCAAGTTGAATTTGGGTAGTGTCACTTTAACCATTATTGAGTTATGCCCCTTTATAAATCGAAAAATTGCAAAATTTTTAGTTTCCGTTCTGTAACTTAAGTTTGCCCCAACCAAACATGAAACCTATACACAATACTTATTACCACAAAACTAAGATCAAGTACAAATTTGGGTAGCGTCACTTTTATTGTTCTTGAGTTATGTCCCTTTATAATGTTGTATGCAAGCGTGGGCATCATCATGGACACATTCTCCATTTTTTTTTTAATAAAATAGTTCCAATCATTACATATTCATTGCTCCTTTGCCTTTAGTACACTTGCTAATACCATTTCTTTGGTATTGGTTGTCACTTGTATGTCTTGATTTTTTTTTATTGACAAATGCTGACCCATTTGAGATCTGGCTTAGTAACAAAAAATCTACGGGGGATCTGGTCTAGCCAACAAATCAACACAGTTGCTAAAAAAAGAACAGGATGATGTAGTATTTTATCAGAGAATTATTTACCAAGGGTTCAGAAATATTTGTTCATGCGATTTGGGGTAATTATTTCCCCAGCTTAATAATCAGGTTGATGAAATATATTCTCAGTGATATTTACTGGTATATTATAACAATGGATCCTAAGTGGCAGACATCTTGGATTTTAGAACAGGACAGAAAAACCGTATGTTTAAGAGACCATTGTTTGATATATTTCATACCAGTATGGGGAGGTGAGTTGAAACAGAAGTAAAGCTCATTTCTTCCATTAGACATAATAGAGTGAGCCCTCCAAATATCTAGGTACAGAAATATAGTATGCTTCAGCAGTTTGTATGGGTATTACTATAGTTGTTTTCATAATGGCCTTGGTATATGTTTAAGTTCTGTAATAAGGCAACAACACCAAGGACATAAAAAATAAAAACATGACCACTAACATAGGGTCAAACTACAGTTTTGGCTAACATCTGTGAAAAATAGCAATCATAGAAAAACTGATCAGGACAAAATTGATCAGCAGAACAAGTTCTATGTACCCTGAAAATTTTAGAAAAACCTGAAATGTTGGTTTTTAACTTTTTTTGGCATTTCCTTGCCATTGTTTCAAAAACTGTTGGAGGTAGGTTAAAAGTGTGTTAATTTGCAAAATTGATCAGCAACAAAAAGCATAACTATAGTATGTGCATATAAATGTCCTAAATAGCAAACTGCTGATTTTTCACCAGATTAGCCTCTGTGTGCCTCTTGTTTATCTTATTATGATCCATTGAATAGCAAAAGGTACAGACAAAAACTATCAATAAAGATAAGTTCATGCCTGTTATTTTACTCAATTCAATACATGTGACTAATCATTTTCATAAAAAATGTCTAAATTGTAGATGGTTAATTTCTGCAATATATTAACATATTTAAAAAAGTGAAAATGATAGTTTGATCAAGTTTTTTTTGAGTAAGTTATAACTTGTTTTCCTCTATTCAAAGTAGTTAAGATACATGTATCAATTATAACATTCATTTGAATGACCGGTTTACAACTTTTAAATGCATTACATAGTTTCTGTTTTGTAGAAAATAGTTGAATCGAGGAAGCAAGCCAAAGATCCAGAAGTGGAGAAATTACATCTAAATAAAACTCAAGGAAAGGTAATCAAGTGTTTCTTATAGTTTTGAATATTTTCTGAGAAATGTTGAATAGTAAACTAATTCAATGTCTTATGTACACAGAATTTCAGTTGGTGCATTACATTTGTGTGCAAAAATCATTACGTTTGTGTGAAGCTTTTGATTACATTTATGCGCATTCTTTGACAGGTAAACTCAGGTAAAGACAGGTAGATTATACTTATTTATTTATTTAATAATTATTTTTGAGAAGGATATGTCTGTTTTATTATGCACAAGCACTTAGTCATGGAAATATATTCAGATAAGAATGTAAAAACATAGCTAATCTAAAGATTTAAAGTACTGATTTTACATGTCCTAACATGCTGAAAATTTGAAGCCCACTAGTACTGCTTAAAAAAACACAAAACGCAAAAAGTACATGGGTTCATGTACTGAATAAAATTGCTCTTTGTAGTGAGCATGGAATAATTCTGGGCGATTCGTAGTATGCCTGGATTCTGCTGACAGTAGTAACGCCCAAAGACTTGGAGGAAATAGTTAATCTGGTGAAATACCTTTGCAATTATTTATGGTGCATCGACATGAAATATCCCCTGACAAGTGTTCTGTTGATACAGAAACTTAATCCATCGTACACTAATGATTTGTTCCTCCGACTTGTTTCTGCTGAACGAAACTCCATGTTTGTGCCTTGGTGCAACTTTACAAACTGACTTAAATAATTTACTAAAGCGATCACTATTTGTTAGAATTAGGAAACAGATTACTATTTACTTTGAAATATTCGCAATAATGTTACATGTATGTCTTAAGCTACTACAGTGTATTACAGGATTTTTCATGATCACTGTATTTTTTTTTTAGAATCCAATTTGAAAAATATATAATTTAAATTTACAAATATGTTCAAAAATCATAATAACTATTGTCATATTAATTATGAATTATTTTTAATTTTTACCTGTGTTACCTGTACAATGAAAGGGAGCAATTGTAATCAAAAGCTGCACACAAACCTAAAAAAAAATTTAATCCCCAAATGCTTGCAAATGTAAGGCGCCCATTTCAGTTGTAATCAATGGTTTTATTAATTTACAGTTTTCCAAAACTGTTAAAATATTGATAATAGTTTCTTGGAATAGAAAAGAAAGGCCTCTTTCTTTGAATTGATAGGTATTTCCGCACATAAAATCCCCTTTTTACTCTACCTTTATATTTATATAAATCAATATTCTCTTTAAGACGCCTACACTTGTCCTGGACACACCACTTGATGAACCTGTGAGTTCGTAAGACACATCTTTATAACACTAGCTGTGTCCTGTCATAATAAAAAATATTTCTAGTTGTATGGTTGTCTCATTGACAATCATACCACATCTTTATATATTATTTATATACTGAGAATTAATTATTATTTGTGGAATACCAAATTTGGATATGGGTAAACATTCAACGAAGTACAAATTTCTACAAGCTAATTGAAATACAGATCCTGTGTCCATGCTTCTCCTTCAAGAAAGGGACAACGTTCTACTTTCTGTTTTAGTAATTATTACATCAGCCAATAAAATTCCTGCATTCGAATTTTTGAAGGTGTGTATCACTATGACAAAACAAGAGGATCTTGAAAGATTTTTAAAAACAGAAAATTGAAAGGAGCATTGTCATATCCTTGTAAGGGAAGCGTGGACGCTAGATCTGTATTTTGATTAACTTGTGGAAAATTTGAACTTCGTTAAATATATATAATATATGAAGTATATAGAGATGTGGTATGATTGTCAATGAGACAACTATACACTGGAGATCTGTGGACAAGGATGTAAACAACTTAAGGTCACTGTACAGCCTTCAACAATGAGAATAACCCATACAATATATGTTTGGATTAGGAAGGTTCAAAGATTTCTTTGTTGTGTAATTTGTACTATTAACCTGGCTAATCCATTGTTTGCGTTGTTAAATTAAGATAATTCCTTTGGATGAAGGCAAAATAGCTGAATAAGACAGTTCAGACCAGACTGAGTTACTGTACTATGGACTTGTCAAAATCACTTTAAAAAGTGATGAGTCCCAGGAAGCTCCCTAAAATATCCTAGTGAGAAATCTGTAGGTTAAATGAATAAATTATTGATATGTTGCAAGATGAAAAAAAGTTATTTTAGGCATTTTTTATAACAGATCTTGTAAAGTTATGATCCACCCATGTTTTATTTATGGTAAGTTTTGTCTCACCTGTGACGAAAATCGTGGAAAGCGAGACATAGGGATAGATTAATGATATTTTGAGTGAAGTCGCTATCAGTACCTATCAGTTTAACAACTATTTTGAGGCCCTGACCCCTAGGAAATGGTCCAGTTACTTTGAAGTAATTAGCAATTTTCAATGTTAAGTTTTCTGTTTAAGTCAGTTTGATAAAACTACTTGTGACAGATCAATGATAATTTGTATGAAGTTGCATTACTATCAGTACATCTCAGTTTGTTGACCATTTCTACACCCTGCCCACAAGATCATGGTCCAACTACTTTGAATTAATAAGCAATGTTGCTGTCCATCAGATTGTCTTTTTCTGAATCTTATGTGGACAGGCGAGACATATCTCTGTGTCAACAGTTTATGTAATATAGTATCTGCTTTTCATATTTCTTTTTTATCCGTAATCTTAAGTTTCATGTTTGGCTGACTTAATTTTAATACTCAAGCTTACAAATCTGGTATCATTAGCTGAAATCCAGAAGGTTGTATTGTCAATGTTGATATTATGTTACTATAACTTATTGTATTAAAGGTAAGTAATAAATATTCCTTTAGACATCTGCAATCAATTATAGCAACCAAAAATCAATGTAATTCCATCTAAATCAGCTCCGTGTATAATTACAGAAGTCACAGAAAGGACGGAAAGGTAATCCGACAGGTGAAAAGCAAACTAAACCTGTAGTTACAGAGCCAACACCTGTACCTGTCCAAGAAAAAGTGGTAAGCTTTGTAATTACTTCTTTAACATTTCATTGATGAAAAATAATTTATGAACTCTTAACTCTATTGACTGTCTGAGCTACAAATTGAAACTTGAATGACAGCAATTTCTTTGTTAGCTTTTAAAATTTATTGAGAGAAAAATAGGTAGATTTTACTTTGTACAGCAGACTCCCCCTAATCAAATATCAGCTAAACGAATATATTGGTTATTTTAATATGACTTCAAAACACCAAACTATATGTTTAATGTAAAATTTTATTGTGTAATTGAATATCCGATATAAGATTATATAGGCAAATAGGATAGGAATATTCAGGAAAATAATGTCAAAACCATGCACAATCGGATATTTTCAGTGTTTTTCTGACAGGAAATGAACCCGGAAGTTACGCAATTACAATCTTGCAGACAAGAAATTCATTTTTTTCTTAGTAAAAGGAACTATTTCTTAATAAATTGTTGTCTTTATTCATTGTCTTCCTTTGTAATGTGAATAGAAGTTGTCCTTACAATTCAAATGGTTTGAATTTATTTATAAAATATACAAGTCTGGGACTATTATTCTAAGGTTAGTATAATAGTCTCAGTACAAGTGCAGTATGTTGGGAGAATTTTGATAAAACTCTTAGTGCTCACAGAATCAGAAATATAATTTAAACTGAATGTACCTCCTTCTGAAAATTTATTGAAATATACATAAAAATTCCTTTTGAACAGAGAAATCTGACTTTTGTCGGATATAATTATGTAACATGTGCATGACCACATGTCATGGATGCCATTTTCCTTTGTTTACATAATGTGAAGCCTCAGAGAACCATGACCTAAACATTATCAGAATCTTCAGAAAACGTTATTTTATCAATCATGATTATCTTCATTGATAATCAAACTAAATTTAATTATTTAAAGAAATGAAGTATAAGAAGATTACAGTTTAGAGAGCTTAACTATGATTTCACCACATTCAAATGTAAATTTGGATATTACTTCGTTTATAAAGCAAATAAGGACACAAACTATGAATGGTAGATATTTATTCACATAAATATATTAGGACATTTGATTTATTTTAATAAACAAATGATTAAAAAACTGTGAATAAATATGAGCATTACATAAACATCTAATCATTTTTTACACAAATATCGTGGTGATGTACCTGAAAAAATCACTCTAAACCTTTTATATAGCAGTGGTCAGGGCTAGTAACATCTCAGGACTAGGTCAGCTTATCATTGCAGAATATTCAGTGAATAAACATTTATTGTCTAATTGAATATATTGGGTAATGGGATATTTTTAGCTGACATTTTGAGTATCAGATTTGCCAGAGTCTACTGTATAAATTTTTATGTAAAGTCTAAAAGGAGCGAATGGATCATTACTGAAAACGGTAGCATTTACACTTTTTTACAAGTTTGCAAATTATTCAGTTGAAACTTCATGTTTGATTTGATCATTAAAGGAGTGGTGATCAATTCTATATATTTTCAATTGTCAAAAAAAAAATCAATGAAATTTAGGGTACTGTCCATCAGAAGTTGTATTACCGTGACTTGACTGTAAGTGTTGCTCTCCGCCTATTGCAGTTTATTCAAAATTCTGACCGAATTGCAATTTATTTTATCATTTGAACCAAACTTTTCAACTGTTCAGAAATTTTATCAAACTGCTGTAGAAAGTTCAAGGTGATAAAATAAAGCATACTTACAATCCAATAAACTTTAGTTCCACTTCAGTGATATAATGAAAATTTCTCTAACAATTTCTATACAAATTTTATTGTAATTGTGATGCAAAAGGTGATAGGTAGTAATTTTTGAAATGCGAAAAAAATGTTAGACTGATTTTTCAAAATATCAATGTTGTCGAATTAGTCTTATAGGATTGTAAGTCTGCTTTATTTTATCACCTTGCACTTTCACCACTGACTGTGTTTCTCTACAGCAGTTTGTTAAAATTTCTGACCAATTGAACAGGTTGGTTTGATAAAATAAATTGCAATTTGGTCAGAATTTTAGATATAAACTGCAATAGGTGGAGAGCAACACCTATAGTCAAGTCACAGTAATTTATGGAAAAAAAATAAATTGGTCATTAATTGATGCAGGTCACCTCACCGAAGTTAAAGTTATCTACCAAAATTGATAGAATATCTATTACATCATTGGAAGGTGATATGTTATCTTTTGGTAATCATGATGTAATGAAACTTATACACAATGCTTATTACCACAAAACACAGATCAAGTTTGAATTTGGATGCATCACTTTTACTGTTCTCGATATGCTCCTTGATAACGCTATATGCAAGCAGGTGCATCCTCTGTGTCCCATGGACACATTCTCCATATATTTCATAATTATTTAAGAGTTTCAGATAATACATATACAGTTTAAAGATGTTGTTCTATTTCTTATGGAAAGTAATGACAATTTTCCCCCAAAAAAAGTGAAACAAAAATAGTAATGGGTCTTTGTTTTTACTTTAGAAAGAGAAAATAGTTATTGTGCAGAAGAATGAAAACAAGGAGATAGAGAGGTTTATGGCTGAAGGATCTAGTGCTTATCTAAATGGTCTAGGGAAGAAAGCTGTGGTCAATTACCAGAAGGCTTTAGATCTCCTTAGTAATAAAAAAGCAGAGGTTTGTTTACTACTTCTATTAGGAGCAATATAATGTTCAAGTAAAAAAAAAACTTAAATTAATAGTTTAAAAGTTCCAAAGGTGAAACATCAGATTCAGGCTTTGCTGAGGAATTCTGAACAGGTTTGCGTTTTAAGAATAGTAATATCAGGAAGCTGTAATTGTTAATTTTTTAGGGTAATGATTTTGACATCATGCTGTTTACAAATGTTTTTCCTATTTTTACGACAGTAAGAATGATCAACTCTAACCTGTCACCCTGAATTCTTAGTATTGTTGGCCAATCTGATAATGAACCAAAAATAAACTATAATCAATTATGAACAAATCTTTGCAGAAAATAATATTTTTTTGTCTGTATATAAGTCACATAATGCATATTTTATGGTTTTTCTTGTCGTATAACATACCAAGGGGTATCAGGATTGATCAAATGAAAGAATGACCGTAGGGCCCAAATAAAGATTTTCTTATCATACCTCCTGCTTTTTAAACACATTTAAAAAGAAATAGAAAATATGATAATTTAGGTTTGTATTCTTTTCCACTTAGATTTCTAGCACTGATATGAGATTGTCCTTTATAGACGATAAAAACAACAAGAATAACGTTAAATCACTGGATCAGTTTTCAATTATTATTATATTTTATCTTTCAGTGTTAGGTATTATCCATCATCTGCAATAATTATTACAACTCTAGGTCTTAGATCTTCCCTATATTACATGTCTCATAACAATTCCTACCTATACATGTATACAACTTTATTTAGATTTTCTGGAACAATTAAAAAAAAAAAAAAAAAAGGGTATAGAGGTATTGAGAAATACATATAGTGGTCAGGATTGATATAAACTAGGATGCTTTGTATTGAAATGTAATAAAATTTTCTCATTTTTCAGGATTACGGTTTAGACCAGCAAGATGTGGCTGTTTTAGAATATGCATATGGTTTATCAGAAATATCCACTGGAATTTATAAGGTAAGTATTTAATGGGAATCTGCAGATATTGCTCAATCTTCTGAAACTAGTTAGTTTGTATGTAACTATTTCTCTTCATATATATGTTCAGCATTTTTGACAAGGTGACAAGATCCTACTAATTCTAAATAATATGAATCATCACAATAAACACTGAAAATAAAGATTCTGGAAAAGAAAATGCTTAATCTCACATTCTTTTTATGTGAAAGTTAGAAAGCTATTGTAAATTTTCAAAGAAAATTTAAAGGAGGTATACCAACATCGCGTTGGTTAGCTACAGAATATCTACCATTAACTATATTTAGTTTTAATAGGGAATAAATTCTTGAATTTGAAAACATGATAAAATTTAAAAAGGTCTTCCATCAGGTCATTTTTGTTTGTGTGTGTGTCATGCTTAATTATTGACTTTTCTGTTACAAAATGAAGTGATATTTTTATGTGAGTAACTTACTTGTTTGTTAGCGATAGAAAAACTGCAAGAATCTCCATTTAATTCTAAGGAATACATTTGAACCTTAAAAAAAAAAGGTCTAGCATTAGATAAAATATTTATGGGTATTACTGAGCAAGATTAATTATTGACTTTTTCTTAGAAAGTGAAGCAATATATTTATGAAAGTGACTTCATGAAGCATTGATAAGAACTTATATTTTGTAGCACATTTTGGATGGCATTGAGAGATTAAAGAATATTACAGAGACGCATAAAGATATACGACTACCTTTGCCATATTTTGGGTTAGGCAAAGCTTATATAACTTTAAACAGGTAAGAGTCATATTTTGGGTTAGGCAAAGCTTATATAACTTTAACAGGTAAGAGTCATTGTTTCATCACATATTATTCAGCTTTTGTTTTAAGGAATGATTTGATATCTGGTTTGGACTGAAATACGACAACATTATGATAAGTTGTTCTGTGTAAGCAGTTTTCAGATCTTCCAGGTTTTCACTGCCTACTTTAAATTTTATCATACATACTGACACACAATGGAAATTTGGTCATAAAATGAATAGGTCTATACTTTGCATGATATTATGACCAAATTCATGTTGAAAGAGCATTTGGTATGTATTACATGAATATCAACATTAGAAAATAAGAGCTTTATTGTAAGACAGTATTTCAAGTGTCAAGAGTGTTTCCTAATTTTGTCCATCTTTTTAAGTATAGCACATATTGTACATTAAGTTTTGCTTTAATTTCAATTACACGACAAAACTAGATGCATTCAGTTAAATCTGTTGTATCATTCTTCAGAAGTTATAAAGATATAACTAAAGAATGAATTGAAATCCTGTTAAATATATTTATTTGATATTGTTTGGTTAAAGTCTGTAAGATGAAGAACTAAAATATGTGAAAAAAAATTTGGCAACAGAAACATTTATTGCCTAAATTCATGATTGGTCCATGAAGAAAACTTTTAAATATTTCTCCTGTAGTTTATTCCCAAATTTGTAACAACATGGATGGTTAGATCATAAGGTAATTGGCCGGTGTGAATCTGAAATCCAAGATGGCTGTCTCTGCAGAACATACTTATACAGTTGATGAGTTTGTGTGAAATGCATAATGGAACCACACTCTCTCAACAGAATAGTCATCTTTGAAGAATGATTTAAAAGAAATAATAAAAATAATAGTTTTCAGTTTGTGAAAATTGTTTCTTCATTTATTGTCAAAACTATTTTTAGATTTGAAGACGCCATTGATCCACTAAATAGGTGTCTACGTATGGCTGGTACACTCAAGTTAAATGTCCTCACCTGGCCAGGGACTGATACTAAAATGGAAGAAAGTATATCTGATGAATTACAGGTAAGAAACCCTCTTAGTCATTAGCCAGTTATAGCATCTTACAGCATAAAATCTGTGAAAAACAGTGGTTTTTCATGTTACTCAGGATCATGTCTAATTTGAATATCTTCAGTTATTGTACCTGAGGAAATTGTACAGAACCATACAGGGTGCTATGCCAGTGTGTATATATAATAGTCTAACCAATATTGATTACTCAGTGTCTGTAGTTAAGACTGCTTTCACACTGAGGCTTAAAGTAGAACAAGTTTTAATTGAATTTTAAACATTTATTTTGGCATGTGTGAAGTATTAATCTGCATGAAGCTATTAATTGACATTTGAATATAGAATAGAATGCGTGCCAAACAATTACATAGGTTATTACAAAGATGTAAACAATAAAACTTGTGTTCACAAAACATGGGGTCATCGTATGTTTTTTCCTGCTATAATATTAGATAGAAAAATTTCCATAAGATTCCTATATAAATTATAATTTTTCTGAGTTACCTTCCCTTATGACGGAAAGTTTGAAAAAAAAATTGAAATCAAGCAAAATATGAGTGAAAATAACATAAGACCACATTAATTTGTTCATTTAAATAAAATTCTAATTAGTTGCATTCCTGCATCGAAATTTGCTGACCTAATTAAAGATCTAGACCTATTGTGTTCTGCTATTTTACAATCCAAGATGGGGGAAGACACCCATACCACCTTAAGATATACATGGAGGAATAAATTTATGCATAAAAAATAACTTATAATTTCAAGGTACAACTATTTACTCGTAGATATTATCTAGTGAATGGTATGCTCTATCTTGATAAAAGTAACTACCAGTCGCCATACCTGTTGGTATATTTGAACAACTGAATAAGTTCAAAATACTGTCAAAAAGAATGTAGAAAGTTAAAGAAATGTACAGAGTAAAGGATTTAATTCACATGCAAAATTATCTATCATTATTTTACTAGGAAATAACTGTATATGATTGCAACTAATGTAATAAAGTAGTTGTATTAGTCCTAGGCACACTAACTGCAAAGAAAAGTAAAACATTCTAAACTTAGTAGTAAAGGTTTACAACTAAAAACATGTTTTAACCATTAAAGTTTCTTGTAACGAGTCTGTTCTATTTGAATTTTGTCTTGAGCTGTTGAAACATTTGTTTGAAAATGAAGTGAAAATGTTGCTAAGATAATGAGGCTTTTACCATAGGTTTACAAGAATCACACCTGAGCTGTTTTGATAATTTTTTTTTAACAGCTATGAAATTTTTTAAAAATCTGAGAAAAATTATTCTCAAAAAAGGAATTTCAGAAAATTACTTTATTTAAACAAAATAACCGAAGAAAATTATACTTGAGATCTTTACTTTAATATTGATCATGTAAGAAATTAGTACAGCAATCAATCAAGAAAATTGTAATTTTTATAATTTCAGAAACAAGTAAAACAGTTATTGACATTGACAAAATATCCACCTGTCCCTGATGCTGTATGTAAAATACACACTGACAAGGAAGACTCCAGAGCTCTTATTTTCTTCTCAGATCCAGATTTTAAGGTATGTTGTTAGTTGTATGATCTACTTGAGTTGTTTTAAATAATTGCATTCTGTGTTAACTAGGCCTCTCTTGTTACCCAAGGTTTTCATATTAGTGTTTTAGTCCCTGTGGAATTCAAATATATTATGAAAGTACAATTATCCTGGGTGATAATGAAATGTTTTTAAAAAAAGTTTGCTGGATACTTCAAACCTTGTATATATATACAGATGCCTTATGTTATGAAGTTTCTGTCTGTCATATGTCCATTGTCCTTGACCGACTGCTTAAAAAACTAGCTTTTTTGTCATGTGAATTTCTCACTTATCATGAGCAACAGGATGAACCTTGCAACGTCTAAATGTTTGGTCAGACTGGGTTCACCTGACCTCAACCTAATTTGATAGATCAGTGAAGAAGGTTAATTATTCCTGGTAAAATCTGTATATCAGATACTATAAGCGATAGGTAAACTATATTTGGTGTATGAAATGATTATAAGATGTAAATGCCCATTTGGTAGGTTTCTTCTGACCTTGACCTCATTTTCATAGTTCATTGGTCAATGATAAGTTTTTGTAGTTTGATCTGTTTTTTCAGATAATGTAAGCAGTAAGTCTACTATATTTTGTGTATGTCCATACGTCCCGAAATTGGTTTCCGTTCTGTAACTTTAGTTTGCCTCAACCAAATGTTATGAAACCTATACACAATGCTTATTACCACAAAACACAGATCAAGTTTGAATTTCGGTGGCGTCACTTCTATCGTTCTAGAGTTATGCCCCTTTACAAATGGAAAAATTGCTGAATTTTTTGTTTCCATTCTCTAACTTAAGTTTGCCTCAACCAAATGTTATGAAACTTATACACAATGCTTATTACCACAAAAATCAGATCAAGTACAATTTGGGTAGCGTCACTTTTACCGTTCTTGAGTTATGTCCCTATATAACGTTATATGCAAGCGGGGGCATCATCTGTGTCCCATGGACACATTCCCCATTTATTTGAAATCTGAATCACAGTGAACGTAAATTTATCCCTCAACTGGCTGGTAAATTCTCAAGTTACATTACATACTGAAGACATTTGAATTCTAAAACACCAGTTGTATACTTCGTCCACAACAACAGATTGGATGTTCATAGGTTTAAGGAGACAGAGTTTAAATGTCAATGAGAAGCTACCCAACAACAAATTCAACAAAGAATCAACATATCAAAGTCACCATTCAACTTTCATAGACAGGCAGGCACCAATACCTTATGGCAAGCTTAGTCCCTCAAAGGCTAGAAACACTGTCAAATACCTATCATCAGCCCCAACAATCAAAATAGATAAAAATATTGTGATGAATAATACAAGAGATGGGCATATATCTATAAGACAGCAACCTCTCTACACAAAAGATCAAAAGATATATGAAAATCAACATAAAAAAATGAAAAGCTTTATATTGACCCAAGTATGGAAAAGTTGTGAAAGAGTGAAAAGAGCTGTGCAAAAGAGCCATGCATAACAACTGTTAAGATTATGCTTGAGTTGGTTTCTTTTACAGTAAAATGTAAATAGTGTGTATAATATATAAAATCAAGCAGCAACATCTGTTTTAGGTTGGGTTTTTTTTTTAGTCCCCTACTGACGAAGTCGAAGGGGACTTTAGGTTTGCACTCCGTCCGTCTGTCTGTCCTTCTGTCAGTCCGGCAAATCAGTTATCCACACTTTTTTTCTTCATGCTTGAAGATATTGATTTGATATTTGGTACATTGTTTTATCATGACAAGTTACAGATCAAGTTCGAATTTTGTTCCGGTCTGATGATTTTGTGCAGAGTTATGGTCCTTGGACTTAGAAAATTCACTCAAATAATCAGTTTTCCGCACTTTTTTTCGTCATGCTTGAAGATATTGATTTGATAATTGGTGTATAGTTTTATCATGACAAGTTACAGACCAAGTTTGAATTTTGTTTTAGTTTGATGATTTTTTGCAGAGTTATGGTCCTTGGACTTAGAAAATTCACTTAAATTATCAGTTTTCCGCACTCTTTTTCGTCATGCTTGAAGATATTGACTTGATATTTGTTATATAGTTTACACCATGACGAGTTATAGATCAAGTTAGCATTTTGTTCCAGTACAATTAATTTTTAACCAGTAGGGAACTATGTATTGCCATGCAATACTCTCAGAATGCTTGTTTATATTAAAAGGGGTGTAAAATGAAAACAATATGAATAAATCTAGATGTAAGGTGTGTATTAATGAGACTGAAACCCAGCAATGCAATATAACCAAGTAGACCTCTGGATGTCTTACATAGAGTTTCAACAGTAGTTTCAACAGTAGACAAACATCAAGCTGTGAAATGTCCTGAGTTTGTTGATAGATTTAACATACTAAAATTCTGCACCTAATTTCATAAAGGATGTAAACACACACACTCAAAATTAATACAATCATTGACAAGCTTCTTGATGTATATTATGAATAATTATGCTGATGATATTAATTTGATTTTTTGATTTAGGGTTTTGTGAGAATTGTATGTTTAACAAGCTGTATAATTGAATTCCACAACCATTGTTGGAAGGATTTTAAGTCTAAATATGGGGAAAAGACTGGTGATAAAGTAAGTATATCAATAGAAATATTTTTTGATTAGGACTTAGCAGAAATTTTTTTTCAACTTGTCCGTATCAAATTTATTTTAAACAGTTGACCTGAAAGCATTTTAACTTGTCCAAAATGTTGGATAAATGCCTACAAAATTCTATTTCAAGGTAAATTATCATTAAGACTTTCCTCAATGTAATTGATGAAGTGCTCTTCAAATTCTCACGCTTTAGGATGAAACACAAAGCTTTGAGTTAAAAACAATTTCATTAGCAGTAAATATTATTTCACTTACAATCAGTGTATACTTGTCTGACAGATAATTGACCTGTTAACAAAGCAAATACTATTTTAGAGTATTGCTTATAGAAAGATGAAATATCAGACATGATTTTTGCGTTGTTGCAAAGTTTTATATATTGGATTTTTTGCTGATTATCAACATCTAATCCATATTTTGAAACATGAACGATATAGCCAAAAACATGTTTTAGGGAGTATCAGTAATGTAGGAAATTAAAGAAAAAGATAATAGAAAGCTGCCAGATTAGTTCTTTAGAAAGACAGGGTTACATATGCTTATATATGATTCTTTTATTCAGGATATTTTAGAGAAACCCTGTCCAACACCAGATTGTATGTCTTGTATTGTTAAAGTTATAATAATCAAACAAGACAGTTTACAAAAAGAGGTAAGCATATTTTTATATATACGTTGAAACCTGTTTACCATGATTCCCTAAGGTACTAAATATTTTATTCAGATAAGAAAGGTTTTTGATATACACAAGTTTTAAGGAGTAAAGAATACTCATTGTATATACCTTTAATTATTAAAGAATACAACTAAAGAACGTTTCTACTGTAAATTCAGATATTATTGAGTGCATTTATTATTGGGATTTTTCAAAAAAGGACAAAAATGCGAGATTAATTATTGCGATTTCCGGAAAATCTGCATACAGTCATATGCATTCGATATCAAAATGCGAGTGCTTATTATTGGGATACTCGCCCAGTCGCATTATTTGCATTGATAAAAACCTCACAATAATTTCTGAATTTACAGTATATAAATAAAAGGAGATGTGAAGTATACATCATTTAGAAAGCAATCCTAATGACAAAAATAACCGAATAACATATAGAGGGTAACATACAGTCTTCAACAATAGACAGGTGTCCATACAATATGTCAAGCTCTAAATCATCCTTAGTCTAGACAAGTCTTCAACAAAAGGCAGGTGTCCATACCATATGTCAAGCTCTAAATCATCCTTAGTCTAGACAAGTCTTCAACAATAGACTGGTGTCCATACAATATGTCAAGCTCTAAATCATCCTTAGTCTAGACAAGTCTTCAACAATAGACAGGTGTCCATACAATATGTCAAGCTCTAAATCATCCTTAGTCTAGACAAGTCTTCAACAATAGACAGATGTCCATACAATATGTCAAGCTCTAAATCATCCTTAGTCTAGACAAGTCTTCAACAATAGACAGGTGTCCATACAATATTCAAGCTCTAAATCATCCTTAGTCTAGACAAGTCTTCAACAATAGACAGATGTCCATACAATATGTCAAGCTCTAAACCATCCTTAGTCTAGACAAGTCTTCAACAATAGACAGGTGTCCATACAATATGTCAAGCTCTAAATCATCAGAGTTTATAGAAGATGTGAATAAATAAAACAGAATCAAAGAAAGAACTGACATCTACACCTATAACAAAAACATTCAACTACTGGAAATGATCCTGACTTGGAACAGACACATTAATATGTGTCGCGGTTAAAATAGTTTATTGAAATCTCAACCCTCTCCCTTTTGAATCTCAATCCATAGACTAACAAAATATACATAAAAGAACTTACATTAGAATGTGTTCAGGAAAAACACTTGAGTTCTGAAAAATAACAGTGTAGGAACTAATCAACAAATTATACTAAAATAAAGAATTCTCCTCGTTACTTAAATGTTACACCTATGATATATATGTTTTCTGGTCTGTGCATCCATCCATAAGTCCCTTTGTCTGTATGTCCACATGTGGTACGAAAGCAAGAGATTTATTCAAATGAATTTCAAGAAATTTATAGGGCATATTTGAAAATGGGAAAGAAAGAATCCTTATAATTTTGTGAATTATACGGTTCATCATTCCAGAGTTATGGGACTTTAACCCTCAGATGTTAGGCAATTTTGCACATAATATACATTTACTCCAGTTGATTGATTTACCTAAAATCTTATGTTGTTGTATAATCCCTGATACAATCCTGGTTAGAAATACAGGCGAAAACCAGGTTATTAGATGAACCTTCAAGTGAGAGTGCAAATTTCCAAGTGAGACCCGCAAAATACGGGTCAGTTGACAGGTATATGATAGAGTAAACATACCGTGGTGATATTATGTTGAATATCAACTGACAAGAAATGTTTTCTTTTCCTAGATTACAGCTGATAAGACTGAGCATGTTGCCTCAAAGCCAAAGAAACCTGTACTTAAATTGCCACCATCAAGGTAAGATTATTTTAGAGGCCGACTAACAGTATCAAATAAAGACTTAAGATATAATTGTAAAGAAGCTAGAACATCTGCAGTTAACCCTTTATGGAACAGTTTTTATGCCCCCGCCGGCCATAAGGGAGGGGGCATTACGTTTTACCCTTGTCCGTCTGTATGTCTGTACGTCCTGAAATTGGTTTCCGTTCTCTAACTTTAGTTTGCCTCAACCAAATGTTCTGAAAATTATACACAATGCTTATTACCACAAAACACAGATCAACTTTGAATTTTGGTAGTGTCACTTTTACCTTTCTAGAGTTATGTCCCTTTACAAGTGGAATAACTGCTGAATTTTTCATTTCCATTCTCTTACTTTTAGTTTGCCTCAAGCAAATGTTATGAATCTTATACACAATGCTTATTACCACAAAACACAGATCAGATCAAGTTTGAATTTTGGTGGCGTCACTTTTACCGTTTGAGAGTTATGCCCCTTTACAAATGGAAAAATTGCTGAATTTTTTCGTTTCCATTCTCAAAACTTAAGTTTGCCTCAACCAAATGTTATGAAACTTATACACAATGCTTATTACCACAAAACTCAGATCAAGTACGAAAGTTGTTGAGTTATGTTCCTTGATAACGTTATATGCAAGTGGGGGCATCATCTGTGTCCCATGGACACATTCCCAATTTATTTTACCTGCGTCGTCGAAGACGAAAGCATGTCTAGTAACCGCTGCACTCTTTTACAATTTTACAGCACTAATTGTACAAAATTTTGTCAAGTTTTTCTTGTTTCTTACTGAAGGTAATAATTTTATTTTTTGTCTGCAGCTTGATTATGTTCAGTTGTAACAAGTGATAAATATTTACATCCGCAATGCAGCCACTTATGTTTGCGGATACTTTGAAATTTTACAACACTTAATGAAGGAAACTTTTCGTCACATTTTTTTGGGTCTTAAATGAGAGAGAATGATCAGTTACACTTCAGTATACAAGTTCCCTCAACTAATTGCATGTAGCGATGCAGGTCCAGACATCGCAATGATTCCAGGAAGCATTGTATGAAGAGTTTAGAATGAATATCTTCTGCATCAGCACCATCAAGACAATTTTCAGGTTTCAGTGTATTTTCTTTGAATCTTATCTAAAGGGTTGTTCTAGGCTGATTACTTTTTATGGAGTTGGTTTATAAAACAATTACTGAGTTCAAAAATTAGTTGTATAGGCAAAATTACAATTTAGCACTGCCAGTGGACATGAAGCTTCCTTGTATCTGGTTATTTTCGTGTCAAGTTTTGTTGCCCTTTGGACCTTAAATGTGGCAGTTGAATTGTTCATTATTTTTCTTCATTGCCTTGTTCAATGCATTTAAATGTACAGTGAAATGTTGGTTTGGGGTAAATTTTGCAGTTAATTAAGTTTGCTGCAAATATTTTGCGATATATGCTAACATGATATAGCTGAAACTGGCTTTAAACACCAACAAAGAAACAATAAGATTAGTAGATTAGTAAAATACATTGTTTTTTAAGAATATAAGCGATGTAATATACTCTTTTCAGTCAAGAAAAGATCGATAAAAGGAAGGAAAAGAAAGAAATACGCAAGCAGAGAAAGAGGGAATCGAAGGAGGAGGAAGCCAATGATTTGATGGATGATATAGAGAGTGTTGGTGCACCACCACCTGTTAATAAATGCAGTATAACAAATATTGAAGGTATCTATTTACTAGAATTATCCATATTAGATGAATTTATGTATTTTATGCTCATTACTTGAAAAACTAAATCATTAGGGAACACAAGAGAGTAATTTTTTTAAAACTACATGGAACCCATATTTCTCCTCTTCTAAGGTGGACATTCTTTTCTTTGTTTTATAATTGTTTGTTTTTTAGCTCACCTGGCTCGAAGGGCCAAGTGAGCTTTTCTCATCACTTGGCGTCCGTCGTCCGTCGTCGTTAGCTTTTTACAAAAATCTTCTCCTCTGAAACCACTGGGCCAAATTTAACCAAACTTGGCCACAATCATCATTAGGGTATCTAGTTAAAAAAATGTGTCCGATGACCCCACCAACCAACCAAGATGGCCGCCATGGCTAAAAATAGAACATAGGGGTAAAATGTAGATTTTGGCTTATATCTCTGAAACCAAAGCATTTAGAGTAAATCTGACAAGGGTAAAACTGATTATCAGGTCAATTTCTATCTGCTCTGAAATTTTCAGACAAATCTGACAACCTGTTGTTGGGTTGCTGCCCCTGAATTGGTAATTTTAAGGAAATTTTGCAGTTTTTGGTTATTATCTTGAATATTATTATAGATAGAGATAAACTGTAAACATCAGTAATGTTCAGCAAAGTAAGATCTACAAATAAGTTGTCTTGACCAAAATTGTCAGTCGACCCCTTTAGGAGTTATTGCCCTTAATAGTCAATTTTTAACAATTTTTTGTAAATTTTTGTAATCTTTTACAAAAATCTTCTTCTCTGAAACTACTGAGACAAATTTAACCATACTTGGCCATAATTATTATTAGGGTATTTAGTTTAAAAAATTTGTCTGATGACCCCGCCTTCCAACCATCATGGCCGACTTGGTTAAAAATAGTACATAGGGGTAAAATGCAGTTTTTGGTTTATATCTCTGAAACTAAAGCATTTAGAGCAAATCTGACAGGTGGCAAAAACTATTCATCAGATTTAGATTTATCTGCCCTGAAAATTTGTAGACGAATCTGACAACCAGTTGTTGGGTTGCTGCCCCTGAGTTAGTAATTTTACAAAAATTTTGCAGTTTTCTGTTATTATCTTAGATATCATTATAATATCTAATATCTAATACTATTAATTATGATTTTAACATTATTTTACATGATTTCCAAAGCATCAGTAAATGCAGGTGAGCGACACAGGCTCTTGAGAGCCGCTAGTTTTCTTGTAGTTGTTGGTTTTTTTTTCGTGGGAGTTGGGGGTTGGAGGACTTTCTTGTAATTGTTGGGTTTTTTCGTGGGAGTTGGAGGACTTTCTTGTAATTGTTGGGTTTTTCGTGGGAGTTGGAGGACTTTCTTGTAATTGTTGGGTTTTTTCGTGGGAGTTGGGGGTTGGAGGACTTTCTTGTAATTGTTGGGTTTTTTTTTGTGGGAGTTGGGGGTTGGAGGACTTTTCAAATCAATTTCAGTCTTGTTTTGTTTCTATCATAACAGTCCTCTTGCTATCTCTCTGCTTTTTTTCTGTACTTTAATAACCAATATTTACATTATATAACAGATCCAGTTCATATTGATTTAGACCATGAGAATGTTTCGGAAAAACTGACACCTGAAGCTGATGTAACAGTTGTAAAACAGCAAACTCAAGAATATAAAGGGAGCAAACCAAAGGTACACTATGGGGAAACAATATAACACAGTGTTATAAGTTTTGAGATTAATTGGCTAAAAAGTATATTTTATGTCAGTAGATAGACTGAATTGTAAAAATGTAAATTTACTGCCAATTTTTAAGGGCAAAGTTCAAGCTCAAGAAATCATGAAACTTATACATTTATCAACACTTAATCTTGATAGATAATTTGAATACTAAGTTACATTTGCTTGAAAATGAATTTCAAGATTTGTATATTTTTATTGAAGCAGATACATTTCTTTTGAATAGTGTCCTTATAATAATTATTAAGATATTTGGAAACACGGAATATACATTTACCAATATTATGCATCATTTGATTTTCACATTTTGAAAAGTTTTTTTTTATACTTTTAAGAATATATACAACTTAACCATCTAGCAATTTTCCCTAAGTGGTATTTATTTGTTTGTTTTTGACAATTTCAAGTCAAATAGAGTAACAGCATCAACAACACTTGTTTTAAGAGTGTAACTCAGTGACTTATACAACTAATCATCCCTCAGGCCTTCAATATTATAAAAAAAAAAAAACCAAACATAAATTACATTACTTTTTTTTTCATTTTTGCCTATTATTTTGAAAATTATAAGAAACAGACTTAAACTTTATGTAGCAAAAAAGATCAGCAAGACAAGTTATACAAATACATTTACATATCTGAAATCTTTAGTCTGTTCTTTATTAGAGTAATTGCCCTTTAAAATGTTTTGCCAAGACATTACACCACTATTGCATGTATTGCTTCTTGTTCAGAAGAAACCTCTGCAAAAAAACTTCATCTCTGGAAGACATTACACCACTATTGCATGTATTGCTTCTTGTTCAGAAGAAACCTCTGCAAAAAACTTCATCTCTGGAAGACATTACACCACTATTGCTTCTTGTTCAGAAGAAACCTCTGCAAAAAACCTTCATCTCTGGAAGATATTACACCACTATTGCTTCTTGTTCAGAAGCAAACCTCTGCAAAAAAAAATCATCTCTGGTAGACATTACACCACTAATGCTTCTTGTTCAGAAGAAACCTCTGCAAAAAAACTTCATCTCTGGAAGACATTACACCACTAATGCTTCTTGTTCAGAAGAAACCTCTGCAAAAAAACTTCATCTCTGGAAGACATTACATCACTAATGTTTCTTGTTCAGAAGAAAACCTCTGCAAAAATACTTCATCTCTGGAAGACATTATGCCACTATTGCTTCTTGTCCAGAAAGTTTCAGGACTGTTAAGAACTAGGTGAAAAAAGCAAAATATAAAACTATTAAAAAACTATTATCCTGCATTTAAACTGGAGAGTTATAATTATCTATAAAGAAAGATATGTTGTTTTGTAGTAAACATGAATTAAAACCTCTTGTCATTAAATATTTCAGGCAACAAAGAAAAAAGCAAAGAAGAAGAAGGACAAGGGTAAACAAGTGTTGAATGTAGAAGTGAACTTTGGTGATGACAGTGATAAACAGCTTCTGGGAGAGGATTATGTAGAAGAAGAGTAGGTTCTCATTTTGTGTTTCGAAATTGATAATTGTCTCAGGGCTGTTTCATTAAAACATATATAGTACATAGGAAAGGCACCTTGAAAATGGGGTAAATATCTATGGAGGATATTTGAGAAATTCTCTTATTTTATCACTGTACAAAATAGTCTTTTACACCCATTCATAATTGAGATTTCTATGTACCTTCCCTGGGTCCCATGTATGTTTAAATGGAACAGGCCTCACCTGGGATGAATATCACTGATGGAGAGACACACATATTTAAATCTATAGGTTACTTATATGTTTCAGATAGAAGAAGAGATAGACAATTCAAATCATGTATGCTGATGTCTTATTTAATGAAGTATTCACCTATCTTGTATATATTTGTTATCTTTGCAAATTTTTTTTTCATTGATTGACAAGTTTCATGATTAGGTGACATTTTTATGTTATGAGCGAAAGGTCTTTAATTGGTCTGTAGATGTTCTGAGTGATGTTATTGAACCAGACAATTTGTACGTCACCATTTACGTCATGTTTATATCTGTAATTGCTTTCAGTGATAATTTTACAAATACTAATAGACAACAAACTATCAGTGAAAGACTTTTTGAATATTTTTCCACATATATTATTTTCTCTAGGTATCTCAAAACTAAAGCATTTAGAGCAAATCTGACAGGGGTAAAATGGTCATTAGGTCAAGTTCTATCAGCCCTGAAATTTTCAGATGAATCTAACAACCCATTGTTGGGTTGCAGCCCCTGAATTGATGATTTTAAGGAAATTTTGCAGTTTCGGTTATTATCTTGAATATTATTATAGATAAAGATAATCTGTAAACAGCAAAAATGTTCAGCAAAGTAAGATCTACAAATAAGTTTCATATGACCAAAATTGTCAATTGACCCCTTAAGGAGTTATTGTCCTTTAAAGACAATTTTTAACAATTTGTTCATCTAGTTTGCTTACTTTAATAGATCTTCTCCTTTGAAACTGCTGAATCAATTTCAGCCAAACTTGGGCTGAATGAGTTTCAGAGCATTTAGTATAAATTATGTATTTTATTTCCTTGTACGTCAAGAAACATAGCCACTATGGCTAAAATGGAACATAGGGGTAAAATGCATTTTTTTGCTTTTGAAGAAAATATGACAGATACAAAGAACATTTAAATGGCATTTTTAAGCCACTCATTAATATATATTGAAAAGCAAAAATAATCATTGATGAAAGATTTAAGCAAAAAATTACAGGTGAGCTATTCAGGCTCTTGAGAGCCTCTTGTTTTGTTGTTACATTCTTTCCCTGGGTACCCAACCATGCCAGATTATCATTGTATATTCAGTGAATATTCTTTTCTGTAGGACTCATTCTTTTTACAGTTTTAATTAATACATTTTTAATAGAAACCTGTGCCATTAATTTTACATTGACAAAAATTCTTCACAAATCCATTTTTGGATGTTTCGCGCATCGTTATTCTGACGCACCCAGCAAGTGTTTCGTCTTTCAGTTAACATTTGGCACCTAGTCCTTTTCCAAAAGACTTTGTGCGCTGTTTTTACACTAAAATTATATTCTATTTTGGTTACATAATGCCTGTATGATAACTTTTCAGATGAGTTCAAGTTGGCCTTTGTATGAGCTTTTGTTAAAATTTTCAAATTGATTGAAATTGAACATTGTTTTTTCAAGTAGAAAACGTCAAAAGTCCTTGAATGTTTAAGGGGCATTAGCTGTCAAATTCATGTTCAACTGTTTGACTCAAATTCTCATATTTTGATTTATAACATACTAAAACGTATATCTAAATTATAAAAAGTCTAAAATAAACAATTTACAATGCATGGGCTCGATACTATGTATCAGCATTTCATGTATTATCCTAGACGCCATCTAATTAACTATCGAGGTGATCTCCTAAGACTGCCGACGGTCATATAACCCGATATAAACATAAATATAGATATAAATAGAAAGCGAACTCGTGCAAATGGATTTTTCTAGGTCTTTTTGATTTCATATAGGTTAAAATTATATGTTAATCATCGTTTTTACCTGTATAAGAATGAGTTTTTGTGGATCGAATCAGTCAATCAAATGGTTTACCCTTGTTTCACTTTCAATGTTGACATTCTTTTCCTTTTAATAACTGAACACGCCTAATTCATGTGTAACCCATCTCTAGCTAAGGGGTTAAATTGAAGGTCACATGAATACAGATTCAATGAGGTCGAATTATTCACTTGCAAGTGAATAACTCATCAGCGATGTTTCTTACCTTATTTTGACAAAATTGAAACATACTGGCTGCTAAAAGCGAATTATTATTTCACTATTTCACTTTCATGATTGAACAAAAAAAAACATATATTAATTTTTTTTTTTATCTTTTTTTATTTAAAGGGTTAAAGAGAAATATGAACAAAAAAATAAAGAATAGAGTATAATGGGGTAAAACCTTATGAATGATAAAGTCCTAACAAATCGTAACAACTGATTGATAAAATAAATATTGATCTGTTCTCTTTCTGAACCTGAGGTAAAATTCACAGGATAAACCCTTGAATAATTTATAATTTTAGGAAGCTGTCAACACCAGCACCATCTATTCCTAAAGAGGAGGAATTTACCGTGCAACAAAGTATAAAGAAACAATTCATACCAAAGACACTTGCAGTAACACCAGCACTTTTCGACGAAATTGCAAAGAATTTGTTTTCGTAAGTTTTAATTCATTGTTAATTTGATATATTTATGTTTGTCTTATGTTATGGTTAAGTTGTGTTTTGTCTTATCTTATAATTAAGTTGTGTACTTGTTTCGTTTGGTCTGCTTGCTGGTAAGGTTTTTATGGTCTGATACATGGTTTCAAAAACTATTATATTTCAGGATATGATTTTTAAAATTCATTTTTGTCCCATGATGTTTGAATGCAATGGACACCAAATGTAAGTTTGCCTCTTTCACATAATCAAAGGTAGTAATTTGGATCAAGGTGATATCTTTGATTTGACATTTTCCCTAGCACTGGTACACTTTTCCTCTTTAAGCGACATGAGGAGTAATTTCTGTAAAAAACAAGCCAAAACTGTATATCAGAAATATAATCAATTAAGGTTAATTGGTTGTCTGACAGAAAGGTAAAGTATATAATGTTGGACATCAGTGGATTTTTCTTGATGTTGTTGCTCATTTTTGACTGGCATCTAAATGATTGTAGCAATGAATTGTTTATTTAAAAAAATAAAATAAAACATAAGTTCACTGATGTTCAACACTTCAATTTCAAACAATGCACTGCCATTTAACAGAACTATATGAAAGTAAGAGTTACTGTCACAGAATCCATATCAAATGTGCAAAGTAATCATTTTCATATCTAATTCATTGTTTTTGATTCTCCAATGATTACCTTAGTTGCCTTTAATTACAAAGTCAAAAGAGATTAAAAACAGAACCGTAATCGACCTTGTATAGTTTGCACTGGTACATTGTCCTCACCCCCCTTCTCGCCTTGAGAAGTCAGGTAAAAAAAAACTTTTCATAACTGTTTGAAAACGTTTAATGAAACTCCAGTGATCTCAAATCGTGTGTGATCGTTTGCAGTATTTTCATGGAAAAACCCATTTTCCAGCATCAAATAAAAGTTAAAAGTGCTTGAAAATGATTCTAGAATACTTCATGTTAAAATAAGTAAAAATCACAAAATAAAAAAACTGAGAAACTTGTGTATGTTTAACCCGGAGATTCGAATAGCATGTGTAAATGAAAATAAATACGGTGAGAGTGTGCGTAAAATCTGTACTTAATAGGTACCACTAGAATACGACTTTTAAAGTAAAACAGCTCCATCCTTTAGTAAAATGCTGTTAAACATATCCATCATATTAATGTTTGAAGGATCTTAAGCTAAAACAAAACACATGCATCAGTATCAATCACCAAAACGGAACTACTAAACGATAACGTTTTGTAGTTTATATATCGTTATGCATAAACTGGTTCCAGGCTAACTTATACACTTTTTTCATTTCGTTAAATACAAGCAGTTTCCAGTTTATGTTATGCAATGCTGTGAAAAGAAACGAGAAATTTGTAATGAAGCATTTAATTTTGAAACTAATCACATAATGGATTTTGAATTAAAATTGCACATTCATATGGATTAGGCAAAATATTAGTTTTGAAAATGATAAGGGCATCCTCTACAATTTCAATAACAAACATGGCGGAAGGTAAACAAACCTCACGAAATCGAGGTTTTCTCTTATTTCTTGCTTATCGTACCCTATAATCTGCATACCTGTCTGGCAGGTTTAATTTTGGAGAATAAAAACTCGGAATATACAAGCCTGATTCGGTATTGAAATAAATGTCTGGCTGGTCCAAATTTTTTTGGGGGGAAAACCTTGGTCTGAGATAAAAGAAACAAAAAACAAAACAAATATTTGAGAAAATCTTTTTCAATCAAGAAATTATAATTTTAATGGAGACATTAGAACTTAATGCATATGTATGTTCAAAAATCATTTGATATGAGCTGCGTCGGATAGAAATTGACCTTATGCAAATGAATATTAATACATCTGTTAACCTATTTCGGGTTGAAAAAATCTGTATGCGAAGTTTGTAACTGTTTGAAAATTGTTGATATAAGAACCCAACATAACAGACCAAAATTCATCTTTTATTTCATATTTAAATGTTCCAAAATCAATCAAAGTCTTATACATGCACTTGCATAAGGTTGATTTCTATCCAATGCAGCTCATATAATGATTTCTATGTTCAAATTATTTATTTGGTTCAAAATAAAACATTCTATACTGATGCTGAGTTGTTTGATATAATTACTGATCAAGAATGAGTTTTTTTAAGATTAATATATGGCATCAAGCTGTAAAGTATGTTTAAGTTCATGTCTGGGTTTTTTTGCTCGGAGGCTGGTAGGTTTTGAAAATTTGAATTGATTCAAAGCAGATAAAAAAAACCACACAAGGCATAACTATATTTGTGTGTAAGTATTCAAGCATTGATAATTTCATCATGTTGTGATGGGAAACTTTTCAATTTATGGTCTTGATCTCATGCTTTTTGATAATAATGATGAGAAATTGTTAAATTCAGTAGAATTTATTCATACAATTTCTTGTAAGTGACACTGCCTCAGAGGTGTGATTGTAGCGTGCTGTCTTCAAGTGAGGTATGTTGTGGGTTCTATCCCATGCTTAGTCAACTTTACAGAGCATAATAAGATCTACAAATAAGTCAACATGACCAAATTGTCAGATAACTTATAAGATTTATTGCCCTTAAATAAATTTTTTTTTTTTTTTATAATTTTGTTAATTGTCTTGAAAACTTTAATAGATAGATATAAACTGTAAACAGTAAAAATGACCATCAATACAATATCTACACAAATATCACTTAATTAGATTTATAGATTTATAGATAAGCAAACATAACTAATTGCAAGAAAGAAAAAATAAACATCAAAATGGCATATTTTTACCAGGTGAGCGATTCAGACTCTTGTGAGCCTCTTATATATATATGCACATTAAATCTAAATTTATGATATAATTTGATGAAATTTTGCATTTTCACTGCTCCTCAATATTTAATTAATGATGAGTTTTGCAGTATCAGCAAAAGAATTATGTTAGGATAGCATTGGTATGCTCCACGCCTCTAGGCAAAGGGGGCCTTGTCCATCTGTACATATATCCCGTAATAGGTTTTCGTTCTCTAACTTTAGTTAGCTTCAAACAAATGTAATGAAACTTATACACAATGCTTTAACCACCAAAAACAGATCCAAGTTCAAATTTTGGATGGCACCACTTTCTCGAGTTGTGTATCTTTATGAATGAAAAAAATGCTTAATTTGCCTTATATTTACAATTGGGGGCATTTGTGTAACATGGACACATTCTTCTTTTATTGAAGGTTATAGTTAGGTATCTCATATTATTCTTACTGACTGATTGACTCAGCGTGACAGTAAGCACAAAACTTGATTGATGTATATTATAAAACTAGACATCAATAAAACAAGGAATTATTTATTTCTGGAATAATCTTGAATTCTGGAAAATTTATGAGAAATGTATGATGAAAACTAATCCAACTAAACAGGGTTAGCCATGCATGCATGGCAAAGGGGGTTAGTTAGTTTATACTGAAATATCAGGGAAAGTAACCTGAACTTTAGCCATTCACATGGCTAACCCTATTTAGTTGGGTTAGGTTTCATCAATTTTCCAGAATTCAAAATTATTCCAGATTCAAATAATTCCTTGTTACAAGAAGATTTAGTGATTTATAGTCATTACATAAAACATCATAGACTTCAAAATATCACTCAAATTTAAAATAAACAATCATAGAGCATGTGTTTAAACATTCCTGCTATTATTATTATAGTCCTCTCAGTATGAAGGGTTATATTGGTTTACCCCTGTTAGTCCATCCCATGAAACTTTTTTGCATTTTTCTCATGAGTATTACAAATAGAAAATTGGTAGCAAGCTTCATGTGAGCATACTGAACTGTATGAATTATTCAACTTCCTGTTTACAAAATACTTATATATTCTTACACATAATGGTCATGAACGAAATTTTTTCCCATTTTTTCAAAATCTACGAATCAGATCTTCCTTAAATTTGGTATCAAGCTTCATGTGAGCACGCTTAACATATAATGTGTTTTCACATCTATCACTATTCAATTTCCTGTTAAAAGAATACTCATTGCAGGGTTATTATTACTTACAGTTCAACTTGATATTTCTGATGCTGCAGTTAATAGCAGAAGCTTCAACAGCAGAGATGAAAGAATTTATTTTTTTAATATATTGTTTTATAAAGTTTTTTAGAATTATCTAATATAATATTTAAATTTTTCTATCTTTTAAGATTTTTTGAGGACTTATTGCAAGCTCATGGACCACTTCACATCAACGATGCTAAAATTACAACAATGTTGGAAGATTTCCCCCCAGATGCAAAAGTCAGGATCGAGACAGCCGGAGGTTTAAATAAATTTCTTTTGCAGTCAACAAAATTTGCAATGCATGGTGAAATTGTTTGCATGAGAGAAGATGCTCATAAGGCTAGTAAGATATCTAGACAACAAAGTGAAAGTTTTGCCTCAAAAGCATCTAAGCTTAAATCTAATAGTGATACTAGTCAATCTGGTTTACAGAAACAAGAAAATGTTTGGACAAATGGGAAAGTTCTGGAAACTAAGGAATCCAAGCTACAAGACAATATACCTAAGGTAGCTTCGGATCCAGAACTTTCTGTCCTGTCAGGTATGAAAAGCAAAGTATCAAAGACATCATACATGGATACTCTGGATGATTTTGATTATCCTGAAATTTCTTTTGATAAAACTGTTGAATATTCCAAAAAGAATGTGGAAAAAACAGATGAAAATGTGAAAAAGAACTCAGAAAAAACCATCGAATATCCAAAAATTCCTGTTCCAGAAAAAAGTGTTGAAAAACCGCAACCTACTGAACTATCTGTTGCCATGGATATGGATGAGTTGGATGACATTGACTTAATTCCTGTTACTCGTAAAAGTAAGAAGAAAAAGAAAAATAAATGCATGGATGACCTTGATGATTTTGATTGGAGCATTTCTGAATCGGACAATTTCAAAGAAAGTACTGCATTTTCAGATGTTGACAGTATTAGTAGTAAAGATGAGTTATCTAAAATTGTTGGAAGAGAAAAAATGGACTTGAATAAACTTGAGCGCAGAAATGAAAAACATGAATTAAAGACTGAATTTTCAATGAGCCAAAGTAGTTCAAAATCTGACCTCAGTGAAAGAAGTGATTTGTCAGCAGATCTAAAGGCAGTGAAACAAAAAATGCCAGAACTGAAACCACCGCCTGTTGCAAAAAGTATGTGGCCTTCAAGAGAACGAACATTGAACTCTTCCCCAAATAACTTTGGGCCAATTGGTTCTCCTGTGCCTTTAGAAAAAAGTGAAAACAGAGCTGAACAGTCAGATTCAGTTCCATCTTATACATCATATTTAAATGACAAAAACAGTTCGTTACTGCTTATGGACACAGCAGTAGCAGCTGAACGTGAAAAATATAGGATTGATTCAAAATTAGTACAAGAATTGACTGATCAAGTGATGAATGATATGACGTTTGGGAAAAATTTAACAGAAACAGAAAGAAAAGACTTGTACAAACAAGTGTCTCAAGATATTTGGAATGATTTTAAACGTACCAAAAAAACTGATCAATGGACACCAAAAACAACTGAAACAGGATATGAATATACAGTCAACAAAAAATCTTTTAATGAGGAATACATGAAAAATTTTTACCAAAAGAAAACTACTGACCCAAATTTAAATTCTTTGTCATTTGCTGTAGTGACTTCAAGCAATTATTTGTATGGGGACACTACGTTTTCAAATAATATTTCCTCCACCAATTCCGGATGGCCCACAAGTGTTAATGATTCATTAGGATATACAAACTATCAAACAAATGTGACTACAACAACATCATCTTCTTTTTCACCATTAACTTCAAATGTGTCTGCATTTCCTTCTATGACTACAACTCCATCACTGTTTTCACCTTTGACATCCAATTCTGGATTTCAATCCCCTTTTTCGATGGCAGATTCCAAACAAAATCTCTTTGGTAACTGGTCAATTGGAATATCTGTCACACAGACAACAAGCAGTTTTACGTCTTCTTCTTCTCAGCCTTTGAATACTTTTCCAGGAAATTATACCAGTGATAGTTCTGTGTTTAGCAACAATTTTCATAAAAAATTCAATGTGGATCGTTCAATTCAATGTGTTGTTGAAACATGCACCATAGCAATGAATACTGATCCTTATGAACCTTTGAAGGAAGAATATCAGCGAATGAAAAAGGAATATGATTTATTACAAGGAGACTTGACAAGTGCTTTGACACAGAAACAAGAGCTTGCCTCACATGTACAGGAGCTGAACAACAGATTCAAGGTAAGTCTTGTTTTTTTTTATTAAATGGAATGTGTGCACAGTAAAATATGGGAAGGCCAGAAAAGAGTGTGTGTAGGATTTCCTGACAGCAGTATTTTTGAGCTTCTTGTAACCACTAACTTATTTCTTCAAAATATGTGAAAGAATTGATTAATAAAACTACAATGTAAATGTATGACAAAATGTGTGTTGAAAGTTGCAAGTTGAAAAGTGCAACCTTTCAGTAAAACAAACAATATGTGTCATGCCAGAACTGGATTCAGTGATAACAATCTTCTAGCAATGGTTAGGCAGAAATATTCTAAAATAAATTAACTCTTCCTTTTGTATATTTTCTAGCATTTTATGGATTTGATAGCTCATGTAAGTCCCAGCAAAATTCTTTCTTAACCACATCCAGTCTTGTAAGTGCTTTCACACATGCAATTCTCCAATTCTTACCAGATTATTGTGAAATTTATATCATAGGTTTTAATTATATCAGCAATGTCACGGTTAAATTCGAATCAAACCATGCCAAACTACTACCTAATAATAAATATAAATATGGAAATATAAATAATATGAAAAATTGCATTGTAAGCTCTCTCAAGCCTACATTTCTTATTAGATTATTATGATGAAAGTTATATTAATATATATCAAAGGTTAATATCAGCAATGTTTGGGATGACATGGATGAGTTAGAAAATAAATGCTGATCAATTTTTTTAGCTCACCTGGCCCACAGGGCCAAGTGAGCTTTTCTCATCACTTGCCGTCAGTCGTCCGTCGTCGTCTGTTAACTTTTAAAAAAATCTTCTCCTCTGAAACTACTGGGCCAAATTTAACCAAACTTGGCCACAATCATCATTGTGGTATCTAGTTTAAAAAATGTGTCCGATGACCCCACCTGCCAACCAAGATGGCCGACATGCCTAAAAATTGTACATAAGGGTAAAATGCAAGTTTTGTCTATTATTCTTTTACGATTTCCTATAGGAGTTATTGCCCTTTTAATACAAATTTTACCATTTTTATGCCCCCGCCCTAGTGGAGGGGGCATTAAGTTTTATCCTTGTCCGTCTGTACGTACGTCCGTACGTCCCAAAGTTGGTTTCCATTCTCTAACTTTAGTTTGCCTCAACCAAATGTTATGAAACTTATAAACAATGCTTATTACCACTAAATACAGATCAAGTTTGAATTTTAGTGGCGTCACTTTTACCGTTCTAGAGTTATGCCCCTTTACAAATGGAAAAATTGCTAAATTTTTCGTTTCTGTTCTCTAACTTAAGTTTGCCTCAATCAAATGTTACGAATCTTATACACATTGCTTATTACCACAATATACAGATCAATGTTGAATTTTGGTGCCGTCACTTTTACTGTTCTAGAGTTATGCCCTTTACAAATGGAAAAATTGCTGAATTTTTCATTTTTTTTTTCTAACTATCAAGTATTTTTAAAATTGGAGTTATCTTTCTTTGTCCATGATTATAGTTGAATCAACTACAATCAATGCTTTATACAATGCAATGTTTAATTTTACCTTCCACTGATAAATTAAAGCAATTTTTACCCTTCATTTCTAAAAATATTTTAAAGTCTTCTTTGAAAATTGGAGTTCTCTTTCTTTGTGCATAATGGTAGTTGAATCAACTACAACCAATGCTTTATACAATGCAATATTCAATTTTACTTCCTACTGATAAATTAAAGCAATCTTTACCATTCTGTGCTTACAAGCACTTTGATTACTGTTCTAGAGTTATGCCCATTTACAAATGAAAAAAATTGCTGAATTTTTCGTTTCCGTTCTCTAACTTGAGTTTGTCTTAAATTAATGTAATGAAATGTATATATAATGCTTGTTACCACAAAACTTAGTTTAATTTTTTGTTTCCGTTTTCTAACTTTAGTTTGCCTCAACCAAATGTTATGAAACTTATACACAATGCTTATTACTACATAATACAGATTAAGTACGAAATTTGGTGGCGACACTTTTACCATTCTTGAGTTATGTCCCTTTATAAACATAAAAATTGCTGAATTTTTCATTTCCGTTCTCTAACTTTAGTTTGTCTCAACCAAATGTTATAAAACTTATACACAACCGTTCAAGAGTTATGCCTATTTACAAATAGAAAAATTGCTGAATTTTTAGTTTCTGTTCTCTACTTAAGTTAGCCTCAACCAAATGTTATGAGACTTACACACAATGCTTATTACCACAAAACTCAGATCAAGTTAAAATTTGGGTAGCGTCGCTTTTACCGTTCTTCAGTTATGTCCCTTTATAACTATATGATATGCAAGCGGGGGCATCATCTGTGTCCACATGTGGACACTATCCACATTTACTTTTCATTTTTATACGACCGCAAAAATTGTGGTCGTATATTGGTATGACGTTGGCGTCGTTGTCTTCTGAAGACACATTGGTTTTCGCACAATAACTTTAGTTTAAGTGAATGGATCTCTATGAAATTTTATCATAAGGTTCAATACCACAAAAGGAAGGTTGGGATTTTTTTGGGGGGTTATGGATCCAACAGTTAAGGAATTAGGGGCCAAAAATAAGCATTTTTGTAACTTCCAGACAATAACTTGTGTGTTAGTGTATGGATCTCTCTGACATTGTACCACAAGGTTCCATATCACAAAGGGAATGCTGGGATTGATATTGGGGGTAATTGCCTCAAAATTTTAGGAATAAGGGGGCAAAAAAGGGGCAAAAAACAAGCATTTTTCTAGTTTCATGATAATAACTTGTGTGTAAGTGTATGGATCTTTCTTAAATTGTACTACAATGTTCCATATCACAAAGGGAAAGCTGGAATTGAGTTTGGGGGTAATTGCCCAAAACGTTTAGGAATAAGGGGCCAAAAATAAGCATTTTTCTAGTTTCCAGACAATAACTTGTGTTCAATTGTATGGATCTCTCTGAAATTGTACTGCAAGGTACCATACCACAAAGGAAAGGCTGGGATGGATTTTGGGGGTAATTGCCTCAAAATTTTAGGAATTAGGGGCCTAAAAGGGGCAAAAAACAACCATTTTTCTAGTTTTAGGACAATAACTTGTGTGTAAGTGTATGGATCTTTATGAAATTGTACTACAAGGTTCCATATCACAAAGGGAAAGCTGGGTTTGAGTTTGGGGGTAATTGCCCTAAACGTTTAGGAATTTTGGGCCAAAAAGGGGCCAAAAAAACAAGCATTTTTCTAGTTTCCAGACAATAACTTGTGTTCAAGTGTATGGATCTCTCTGAAATTGTACTGCAAGGTACCATACCACAAAGGGAAGGCTGGGATTGAGTTTGGGGGTGATGAATCATAAGGGGGTGTCAGAAACCTATTATGTGTCAAATACTTAATTACAATCCAAATTCAGACCGGTATCAAGCGCGAATATTGTGTCCATTTTTGCCCCAACTGTTCAGGGTTGGACCTCTGCGGTCGTATCCAGCTGCGCTCAGCGAAGCATTTTATTGCCTTATATCTTTAAAACTATAATAGATACAGAGAAACTTTAAATTGCAAAAAATGATCAGAAAGACTCTGTTCTAAAAATAAGTCTAATGGTTGAAATCGTCAGTTGACTCCTTATTAGAGTTATTGCCCTTTGATGACGATTTGTACAATTATTTTGCATTTTTGCCTTATATCTTAAAAATTATAAAAGATAGAAAGAAACTTAAATAAGTAAAAATGATCAGCAAGATAAGATCTACAATTAAGATAATATGGCGGAAATCGTCTGATGACTCCTTATTGGAGTTATTGCCCTTTATTGACGATTTTTACCATATTTTTTTTTTGAGTTTTGCCTTATATGATAAAAATTATAATCGATAGATAGAAACTTAAATAATAAAAAATGATGAGCAAGACGAGTCAAAATTTGCCGATACAGTTCGTAGACTGTCACTCTTTATAGGAATGATTGCCCTTGAATTAGGAATTTTTTTTTACCCTTTTTTTTTGTGTTTTGAGCAAAAACTAAATAAGATAGAGAGAAACTAAACAGACTAAATGATCAGCAATATAAGATTAAAAAAAAAAACAGAGATTTTTGTCATTAATTCTATTCTCATCTACAATGTTGGAGAATATACATATAGACCAAGGTGAGTGACACAGGCTCTTTAGAGACTCTTGTTTTTTTATTAAAATGTGTGTCAACATTAGAATTGTAATGACAATGACTGAATTGGCCATAGTCATGATAGTCATGATAGTTAGAAAGGGAAAATACAGGGTCTACTAAAAATTAGTGAATTTGACAAATTGGTCAGGAATGATTGAGGTGATGATTTATTGATAAAAAGAGGCTAGATCAATATTTTTCAGTGTTTTCCACTTTTACCCATTAGCCAAGTACAATGAAGACTTGCTTGAGAATGATTTTCACTTTAACGTGCAATCCAACCTCTAATGTCCAAATATACAGTGGCCATTATCTTATTGTGCAACCATTCAGATAGATTTATGAAACATATTAAATGCCAGTTTTCTTACCATTTGTAGTCCATGTAAATTTTCTTTGTAATTTTGTAAAATATTTACAGAATAAATAAAAAAAATTGCTTGCATGAATTATATTAAGGTCCCTAGAAAGATATACTAATTTTGTATCCAGTTATTAATTTAAAGTAGGTTTGGTCAGATGGTCCTGATTTTTATGATATTTCTTTTCTTTTACACAGAAGTATCACATGTTTTTTGCTTAAGCCAAAAAAATTATATATATACCTGATTTCTGCCTCCTGACCTACTCTTTAATTTTGATCACTGACCCTTAAAGATTGTATTGCCTTTTCATATAACCATGATTACTATTCATAAAATGGCATTTTGTGTCATTTTTGAGTAATCTGTGATTCCTTTTTCTGCTTGACTATTTAACAATTTTGTGATAAGATTGACCAAAATCGAGTGTAAAAGTTGTCAGAACATAGGAAATTACAAATGTCATGAATGTACAATGGTGCTAAAATGAATTAGCAAATGTATTGTGTAATTTAGGATCAAACTTTATAAAAACATGCAATTTTTGTTGATAATCCAAAATAAAAAAAGAATCTCAAACAAACAACTCTTTGTATGCCCCTGCCGCAGCAGAGGAAGCATTAAGTGTTATGTCTGTACGTCCGTCCGTATGTATGTCTTAAAATTGGTTTCCGTTCTTTAACTTTAGTTTGCCTCAACCAAATCTTATGAAACTTATACACAATGCTTATATTTTGGTGTATGGAATAATTGTAAGGTGTATACATGTATGTCTGTCTAACAGGATTTATCTGACCTCATTTTCATCATGTTCATGGATCTTTAAAAGTGTTAAGTTTATGTGATACTCCTAGTAAAACCTAAAGCTTTAAGACTTTCAACAAAAAATCAATGGTCAGTAAAACAGATGAGACATTTCAGCATGTGCACTCTTGTGAAAGATATTATTTTTATTTTACATGTATGCTTTATTTGTTTTCATTTTTAAAACACCAATAAATTCAATATTACAGTTTCAGACTATGTTACCAGTAAGATTTTTGTTTGATATAGAAATTCAGAGCATGAAGAAAGTAAAATTGTTGTCAGATCTGTGTGTGTATATAAGGAATCATGGGCCTATTTGAATATTGGATGTAATTGTAGTGTTTAAATGTGTTATTGTTGTATTAAGATGAAACAGAAATTCAAATTTATCAGTCTTGCTGCAATGATTGTTTTTCCTTTTGCTGCATCCATTTATTCAGATATGTTTTTTGATTTCTACAAGTCCTCTTCATCATGTTCATTAAAACATCCTTCAAAATTTGCTCAGAACATAACTTAAAATACACTGTTCATTGTCCCCCTCCACTTGTGCCACAAGGCATATAATTATAGTCTTAATTCAACTGTCCAGCTGTCCATCTGAATCATAACAGCATAATATAGAGAAAGGTTACATACTTGGTAGGATTGTTTGTCATTACACTTGTACAGTCAGTTTATTATGACAGTTTTGATGAGAGCTATTAGAGTTTGATCATTTTTGGGATTATTGTAACACAGTGGCATCTTGGGAAATCATCTACTCTGAGACTGTTTTACAGAAAGCTTAAAATGACTAAAAATCTTGTTAATGACAAATTACTACGACCTTTGAATAAATGGTCACTGTATGATAGATATTCTGATTAAAGGATTTACTGCTTCCATCATGTCTATTTTGCTTAGGTTTTGTAAGCTAAATACACAAAGCAAATCTTGACAGGTCAAACTGTTTGTTGTTTTATATTTTACATGGTGTATGTTAGATATTTACCAATTTTAATATTCCTATTGACCTCTGACCTTGATATATGGAAGTTTTGTGCATGTTTGTATGAATGTACATGAATTGTTCAACAAGTTGTGCACATGTACAAATCTATATCTGATTGGTAAAAATTCTTTTGCACATGTCTAAAGATGAATACAAGTAGAGGTATGGTAAAGGTCAATGAAGTAGCAACCTTTGAACCTACCAACATAACAAAAGCTAACTAAAATAGACAACTTAACTATCCAACCATTAACTAACAGGAATAACCGATTGTATAAGACACCAAATTCCAGATTATTAGATTATTAAATATATTGTTGTCATTAAGTTTTTATCATGTCTTCTAAAATGTTCAAATATAATTTTTAAATAGATAATAATCAAATGTAAATATTTGTGAATGTCAATTTCCTATCATTGAAGTTATCTTCATGGCCTACCATATTTTAATGATTACAGGTTTTTGTGGTTGGGGGAAAAGTGCAAGTGTTATGGTAACTGTTTTTATTATTTTTTGAATTATTCTTATTTGCTCCAGTACTTCAATTGAAAATTTGTTTTTATTGAGTACTTTATTGTTTTGTGACTGTCAGTCTGTATTAACAATTTTTTTTTTTAAATCCAATAAATCTAGTGTCTAAATATACTTTATGTACTTGCATGAACTAAAAAAAAATGATTTGGGGGAATATAAAAATTACAAAACTAATAAACATGATAAAGGTTGGCAGTAAACATATTAATGCTGTTGTAGTTTAAAATTTTAGAAATGAATGAAATAAAAGAAATACTAGTTAGACACTTTATAAACCTACTTTCTTCCTCTTTTTTTTGCAGACTTTAGAATTGGAAGTGAACATTCAAAATGAAGCTATTGGTAAAGAGCGACAATCAATGCAAGAAAAACATGATATGTTGTATTTGGAGTGGAACCATCTAAACCAACAGCTTTCCCAGTATGCTGAAAATGAAATAGAGTAGGTATTGAAGTGGGGGTCTGGAAGGGGCTAAATACTAATATATATTGAAAAGGGAGTAGATTAGGCCTTCTAGGGGCTAAGTACTAATAGGTAATCAAGGGGTCAGGGAGGGGCTAAGTACTAATAGGTATTGAAAAGGAGGTTGAGGAGGAGCTAAATACTAATAGGTATTGAGGGGGGTCAGGGAGGGGCTTAGTACTAATAGAAATTGAAGAGGTCAGGTTGTGGTTAATTGCTTATTGAAGGGGTCAAGGGAATGGGGGCTAAGTACTAATAGGTGTTGAAAAAAAAAACATTTAAGAAAAGCAATTTCTTAGTTTATTTAATCCTTACATATATTTTAATTTTTGTCCCCCGTGCAACAAGTTGCGGGGGGACATAGAAATACTGGGTGTCTGTCCGGTCTTGTTAGTGCTCTCACATGTATAATTCTTGGCAGATTTTTATAAAACTTATATCATAGGTTTATATCAGCAATGTCTTGGACAATTTCGAAAATCAGTGAACTATTTTTAGAAGAGTTATGCCTCTTGGAAACATTAATTATATGCAAAATTGCATCATTAGTGCTCTCATGTGTAAAAATCTGGCCAGATTTTTATGAAACTTATATTGTAGGTTTATATCAGTGATGTCTTGGATGAGTTTGATATCTATGCCGATCAATTTTTTTTTAAAAGAGTTATGCCTCTTGGAAATTTTAATGATATGGTAAATTGCCTTGTGAGTGCTCTCATGTGTACAATTTTTGCCAGATTATTATGAAATTTTATATTATGGGTTTATATCATCAATGTCTTGGATAATTTCGAAAATCTGTGCCGATCAATTATTTTTAAAAGAGTTATGCCCCTTGGAAATATTAATTATGTGGAAAGTTGCATCATTAGCTCTCTCATGTGTACAATTCTTGCCAAAATTTTATGAAACTAATATCATAGCTTTATATCAGCAATGTCTTTGACACTTTTTAAAGTAAGTGCTCATCAAATATTTTTAACGAGTTATGCCATTTGGAAATATTAATTATATAGGAAATCACATTGAATTTGCTCTGAAGCATTTATTTCTTTAAGATATTTATGAACAATTATAAGAACAAAAAATAGTGTATTTTTTAGTTATTGCCCTTGTACCTTGGATACAATCTGCGACATTAAGCAGAAGCCCGAAGCCCCTGTCTAGTAAAAATCTCATCGGATTTGTGCAGAAGCACTGGTGATTGCCTGACCTTGTTTTCATGCGTTTACTGGTATCCCTATTTTATCATATACGTTTATTCCCTTCTAGTCAAAGGGAACCAGTCGTCAACGTGATATACCTAATTACCAACGAAATCGTGAACGAGGCTCGACCATGTGCTTGCAATAAACACAATCTATAAATACCACTCAATGTAAACAAACAATCAAGGATTCGATCTCATTCGATGCTGAAATGGAAAGGGGGCTATCCCAGGTAAAACATTGAGAAGTTGAAAATGCCTACACGAATAACTGGAGAAGTTTCGAGTTGAAAAAAAAGGTAGTGTGCAGAAAAACGATCTAGGCATTTTTAAACAAAATTAACGAAAGTGACAATGAAGGAGGGTGGTGATGGGGGTGTACAGAATAGAGAATAATGGGCAAAAAACATAAAGAATATTTTTTTTAGAGAAAAATGGACCAAAAAATATAAGAATAGAGAAAAATGAGGTGTTAAAATATAAAAGAATGGAGAGAAATGGCATAAAAAATTAAAGAATACAGAAATGAAGGCCCCTCCACCCCTTAGCCTCCTGATCCCAAAGAAGTGCCAGAGAATATTATTTTCTAGTGCTAAAAATGTGGATTTTTTTGCTGAGTCTTATTACTTAAAATGGTACAAGTTTATAGTTTTGGCAAAAGAACTATATTAATTTTTTATTGGAGAAAATGATAATTTTTCACTTGACCTTGAGAAAAAAACAACATTTTTTGATAAATAATGTTCACTTCCAGATACAAAAATGTAACCTCAGAATACAGGATTTTATGTCTAATTTTCCAAAATTTTCTTAGGGGGAGGGGGGGGGGGCATGCCCCAAAACCCTCCTAGCAGGTTTGGATCTATTTTTTTTTTTTTTGCTTTTGAAGAAAATATGACAGATACAAAGAACATTTAAATTGCATTTTTAAGCCACTCATTAATATATATTGAAAAGCAAAAAGAATCATTGATGAAAGATTTAAGCAAAAAATTACAGGTGAGCGATTCAGGCTCTTGAGAGCCTCTTGTATTCTTTTGCAAAGAAGTCACCTGCATGTTGCATTTGCTGTATGAAATCGTGTCCATCCAGGTTTCAGAAAATGGATTGTTTTTGTTTTCTGTCTGGTTGGCATTATTTCAAGTTTCTCTTTTCATTCATAAGTAATATTATCCAATCCCTACAAATTATAATTAGGGATAAAGTAAAAGTACTAGTTATTTGTGGTCTACTTCTCGGGTCATTCACTGGTAGGTAAAATATAACCTTGTAAGCAGGAGACAAATACCAAACACCCTTTTCAGCTTTCACCAAACTTTTATTATAAGCAAAAGGTTTATTTATTGTTTTCAATTAATTAGACGTTTATAAAATTTCCATAGTATATTTGATTTAATGTTAATATTCAATTTTTATTTTTTTGCAGATTAAAAGCTAAACTGTCAAAGATAGAAGAAGATAAACAAGAACTTCTCAATCAGAAATCAAAAGACAGGTAAATTATTGTCCCCTGAAAGTTCTAGAATGCGAGATGTAGGGATTACAATCCGGCGGCGGAGACTGTGTAAACTATTTGTATAAAGCTTTATATTTCTGAAGGTAGAAGACCTGGATGCTTTATAACTTGTATACAGATACTTTATAATATTATTGACCTCATTTTTATGGTTCAGCTACTGCTTGAAAAAAAAACACAGTTTTTTTGTCAAGTGAAATATTCCCTTATTATGAGTAAAAGGATAACTATATTTGGTATATTGGTTCCTTGCAACCTCTACATGTTCATCAGGTAGGGTTTACCTGACCTTGACCTCATTTCTTGGATCAATGATCAAGATTAAAGTTATATGGTCAAGTCCATATCTTAGATATTATAAGTATTAGGTCAACCATATTTGGTGTATGGAATTATTGTAAGGTGTACATGTCTGTCTGGTAGGTAACATCTGACCTTGACCTCATTTTCATAATTCATTGGACAATTAAAAGTTTGTGTTATTTGGTCTTTTTCTCAGATGTTATAAGCAATAGGTCAAATATATTTGGCGTGTGGAATGATTGTAAGGTATACATGTCTGTCTGGCAGGGTTCATATGACCTTGACCTCATTTTCATGGTTCATTGGTCTGTGAAAAGTTTTCATTATTTTGTTAGTATATCAGATACTATAAGCAATAGGTCAACTACATTTGGTTTCTGGAATGATTTTAAGGTGTTCATGTCTGTCTGGCAAGATTCTTATGACTTTGACCTCATTTTCATGGTTCATTGGTGAATGTTAAGATTTTGTGGTTTGATCTGTTTCTCTGGTGCTTTTAGCGATAGGACCACACTATTTGTGGTGTATGGAATGATTGCAAGGTGTACATGTCTGTCTGGCATGGTTCATCTGATTGTGACCTCATTTTTGTCGAGCCTGCGACTTTTGTCGCAGAAAGCTCGACATAGGGATAGTGATCCGGCGGCGGCGGCGTTAGCTAACTTCTTAAAAGCTTTATATTTTAGAAGGTGGAAGACCTGGATGCTTCATACTGTGTATATGGATGCCTCATGTGACGAAGTTTCCGTCAGTCACATGTCCAATGTCCTTGACCTCATTTTCATGGTTCAGTGACTACTTGAAAAAAAAGTTAACATTTTTTGTAATGTTAATTTCTCTCTTATTATAAGTAGTAGGATAACTATATTTGGTATGTGCGTACCTTGCAAGGTCCTCATGCCTGTCAGACAGTTTTCACTTGACCTTGACCTCATTTCATGGATCAGTGAACAAGGTTAAGTTTTGGTGGTCAAGTCCATATCTCAGATACTATAAGCAATAGGTCAAGTATATTCGGTGTATGGAAGGACTGTAAGGTGTACATGTCCAACTGGCAGGTGTCATCTGACCTTGACCTCATTTTCATGGTTCAGTGGTTATAGTTAAGTTTTTGTGTTTTGATCTGTTTTTCTTATACTGTATGCAATAGGTCTACTATATTTGGTGTATGGAATGATTGTAAGGTGTACATGTCTAGCTTGCAGGTGTCATTTGACCTTGACCTCATTTTCATGGTTCAGTGGTCAAAGTTAAGATTTTGAGTTTTGGCCTTTTTTTTTAACACTATATGCAATAGGTCAACTATATTTGGTGTATGGAAATATTTTATGATCTATATGTCAGTCGCGCAGGTTTTATTTGACCTTGACCTCATTTTCACAGTTCATTGCTCAGTGTTAAGTTTTTGTGTTTTGGTCTGTTTTTCTTAAACTATAAGCAATAGGTCAACTATATTTGTTGTATGGAAGAATTGTTAGCTGTACATGACTGCCTGGCATGGTTCATCTGACCTTGACCTCATTTTCATGGTTCATTGGTCAATGTTTAGTTTACTTGGTTAATGTTAAGTTTATGTGACAGTTGAAATAAAGCTTTATATTTAGGACTATCAACATAATATCAATGATTAGTAAAGAAGGCGAGACATTTCAGCATGTGCACTCTTGTCTTAGAACATTGATAATGTTAAATTTATGATACTTGTAGTAAAAACTTCATGATACAGACTTTCAACATAAACTCGATGATAATTAAAACAGGCGATATATTTCAGCGTGTGCACTCATGTTAGTGAAGGGATTTATTTCAGAGGTTTCTAACATTTTGTTTGTTGAATTATTTCATTGTTCTTTGCACTTGGAGACTAAGATTTATGCAAAAGTTGGAATGAGGGGAGGGGAGAATAAATAATTCTACCAAAATCTGCTAAAACTTTGAATCTTTATTTTTCCCCATTTCTTTAATTACTATTTCAAAATATATTTTTTTTAATTTTACAGACTGGAACTAAAGTTTGCAGAAGATGATATCAAGAAAAAACAAGAAGAATATAAAATTTTGTTTGACAGAGAGAAAGACCGGGCAGCCAGAGCAGAGGTATGTCACTAATGCTAGAACAATTGAAACATCAGCTTTTTAGGCACTGCCAAGACTTGAGCAAATGATGACCTTTCTACCATCTGTAAATATAAAATATACAACATCCAGAAAATGTCATTGTTAAATCCTGAAATGGACTAAAATTCACTTTTTTTTACACAACAATGCACACATTTTACCGTAAGAGTTTTTTTCACTTTAACTACAACTTTATAAAAAAAAGGAAAATATTGTTTGCATTTATGTTTTTGATAATTTATAATCTGTGAATGTAATAAAGGAGATCCCAATGTTTACCAAATTATTTGATAAATATTGGCAATTATCTTCCATAAAGTAATACAGACAAAATACAGTGGTCCAGCCTTTTGTTGAAGGGCACAGAATGAACCAAAATCATCCCTTCTACGATCTATGGTCCTGAGCATAATAAAGTTTGGTTGCCTCACTTATAACAGCAAGAAAGCTATTGAATAAAGTAACAAATATTGTTACTAATAAACTTCATTTATTGATATAAAACTAGATAATTTTATATGTCAAGTTAACAATCTGACACTTATTTCTGAATTTCATGTCTTATCTTCATGTGTATCTTTGGTATGTGAAAACATCTATGGCCATAATGAAATAATCTATGGGTGGTGTGTACTCAAAATATATATTTTTGGGGATTTAGCAAGATATATTTTCTAATACAGATTGAGGTTACAACACTTAAAAAGCAGTCTTCTGTAACTATGTTGGAAAGGTCCAAGAAAGAGGCCATGTATCATGTCCATCATTTAAAAGGACTCCATAAAAAGTAAGTAAATGATGTGTATGAATTACGGTCAATTTCCACATGTACAGTTTGTTTTGTGTGACTCCTTATGAAATATGCGATTGTGAACATGTTTTTATGCCCCCACCGTAGCGGAAGGGGCATTAAGTTTTACCCTTGTCCGTCTGTTCGTGCGAACGTACGTACATTCCAAAGTTGTTTTTCGTTCTCTTAACTTTAGTTTGCCTTAACCAAATGTTATGAAACTTATACACAATACTTATTACCACAAAACTCAGATCAAGTACAAATTTGGGTAGGGTCACTTTTACTGTTCTTCAGTTATGTCCCTTTATAACTATATATGATATGCAAGTGGGGGCATCATCTGTGTCCCATGGACACATTCCCCATTTATTTTTTAATGGAAAAATGACCAAAAACAGAATAACCCTCAGACTCATCTTTCATCCCTGTCAACCAACTGTACAGCACCTTAAATTCCGATGTAGTATTAATTTCTTCACATTCTGAAGACGCATAAAATATTTACCACTAAACATTAAACTAAAAACAATCAACCAATCATTAGTTGGTTACAATTATTTGAAAAGCAGGTTTAAATATAATGATTAAAGCAAGTGATGTTTGGTTTCTCCTAGTAGTATGTCTGTTTTCAAGTTACTGATTAAAATATAAACTTGCACACTAGATCATATTTCTAATTCAGAATGATTTATGTATTTTCAGGCACACAGACCAAGGAAAGGAAGTGCCCACACAAATGATTCAAGCGTTAAGTTTCTATGAGACAATTGTGTCAAAATGTGCAGAAACTATACCTAAAATGATGGTAAGACTAGTTAAACTAGATGTGTCTGAATGTTCAACACAAATTGCCCCGCTTGCAAAAAAAAAGCTTGCAGCCAATTTTTAGGGTGCAAGTTTGATAGTTAGAACCAAACGTAAACTCGATCTGTAACTCATCATAGTAGACTATTATACTAAAAAAAATTTGTAAGGGTTCCATGGAACCCAGTGTCTCGCCTACTTTTTCTGTTAATCACAGGCTCAACAAAAATGAGGAAGTAAATCAATAAAAATATTCCTCTTGATACTATCTTTTGATTGTAAGAAGCTCCTGTCCAAGTTTGGTAAAAATCCAGGATAGTTTATGAATCTAATAAATGTTTAAAAACTTTAACTGCAGACTGAATGTAATGTTAACTGGAAGAAAACAAAATTTCCTTCTAGACACTAGCATTTGATCATAAAAAAGCTTCTGTCAAAGTTTGGTACAAATCCAAAATAGTATAAGAAAGTTATTAAAATTTTAAAAACTTTAACCACAGAGTGAATATGTTGTTTCCTGGCAGAAAATCTAAGTCCATTTAAAAGTAAAATACGGAAAAAATGGATTTATTTTTTTACAAAATTTCCTTCTAGATACTAGCTTTTGATCATAAACAAGCTTCTGTCCTAGTTTGGTTCAAATCCAAAATAGTATAAGAAACTTATTAAAATTTTAAAAACTTTAACCACAGAGTGAATATGTTGTTTCCTGGCAGAAAATCTAAGTCCATTTAAAAGTAAAATACGGAAAAAATGGATTTATTTTTTTACAAAATTTCCTTCTAGATACTAGCTTTTGATCATAAACAAGCTTCTGTCAAAGTTTGGTACAAATCCAAAATAGTATAAGAAAGTTATTAAAATTTTAAAAACTTTAACCACAGAGTGAATGTGTTGTTTCCTGGCAGAAAATCTAAGTCCATTTAAAAGTAAAATAAGGAAAAAATGGATTTATTTTTTTACAAAATTTACTTCTAGATACTATCTTATGATCCTAAAAAAGCTTCAGTCCAAGTTTGGTACAAACCCAGGATAGTTTAAGAAAGTTATTAAAATTTAAAAAACTTTAACCACAGAGTGAATGTAATATTTCCTGGCAGAAAAACTAAGTCCATTTATAAGTAAAATACGAAAAAAATGGAATTTTATTTTTACAAAATTTACTTCTAGATACTATCTTATGATCATAAACAAGCTTCTGTCCAAGTTTGATAGAAATCCAGGATAGTTTAAGAAAGTTATTAAAATTTCAAAAACTTTAACCACAGAGTGAATATTTGTGGACGCCGCCGCCGACGGAATGTAGGATCGCTATGTCTCGCTTTTTCGACTAAAGTCGAAGGCTCGACAATCAGCCCAATGTGTAAATGCATTTAGGAAAAAAGTCCATATAACGGTTCTTTGCTGAATGATGAAATGATGGGATGTCGGAATGAGGGAAAAGGGTAAATCTATATGGCCCTGACCACTGAGTGGCGGGGCCATAAAAATTATAATGGTTGCATATTTGCATAGATCAGATCAGTATTTGATCAAACCTAGATAACCAAGTGCAAAATTAAGAATATATATATACCTATGATGGAAAAAAACATCATACTTACCAGGGTGAAAATGAAATATTTGACATTTGAAAATATTGACAAAAGTAGTAAATAAGTCTGACAAGAACATAAACAAATACAATTTATAATTTTAGTGTTGATTTTGATTAACAGCATTTTTTTAATTCAAATGCCAAAGAATGGGAAAGAATCAGTCCAGGATATGAGAGAAATTTATTTATGACAAGGGTTAACCTTGATACACAGGTGTTAACTTTTCAAACATTGAAAGCTGGAGATTTCCTCCTAATAAAAATGTTGCGGAAGAAATCAACATGGCTTTTGTGTGTAATTCACATTACATAAACTTCTTGATAAATTAATAGGGTATTGGCAATTCACTTGGAAACTCAACATATACCCCCACAACACAACACAATCCTGAATAATCATAGGTCTCCCTTGGAATTTCAACCAAAGATGAAGAACTGGATCTTCCTTCACTGTATTGGATACCTAAATTACATAAGAGTCCTTACAAACAACGTTATATTGCTGGGTCATCTAAGTGCTCCATGAAACCTCTTTCTATATTATTAACATCAATTTTATCAGTAAACAAAGCTGGGCTTCAAAGTTATTGTGAAACTACCTACTCTAGGAGCAGTGTGAGTCAGATGTGGATACTAAAAAATAAAAAAAAACAGATCTGTTAGAGAACATACAATTAAAGTTTCTTTCCTCTTGCAATAGTATTGAAACAATTGATTTTTTGTCTCGCCTTGACGGAGTCAAAAAGCGAGACATATGTATGCTGTTTCCAGCGTCGGCGACGACAGCGACGGCGTCAACAATGTATTAATTTGTGATTAGGTCTAGTTCATGGTGAACCACTAGTGGTAGGTCAATGATATTTGGTATGCAGTTGTATTAGCATTGGCACATCTTATTACCATGGAGAATATTTGGTCCCTACCCCTCAGTCATGGTCTATTAACTTTGAAACTGTTGGTCAGCACCTGTGTGAACAGCACCTGTGTGAACAGAGACAAGTTCAGTCAGAAATACAATCAGATATGATTTGTCTTGTTACAAATTTATTGTGTCAGTATGTTTCTGTGTAAACTGATTAATCTCATCTTACCTGTTTTATTTCCAGAGTGATTTCGATGAACAGATTACGCAGATTCAAAATGGAAGATGCTTAGCAGAACTACCCCAAGTTTTTGTGCCACCACCCCCTCCAGCTTTCCCACCAAACTCTGGGGGACTAGAAACAAAACTTGAAGAATCTTTAAGCAAGGTAGTGGAATCTTCACTACCGAAACTGCCCAGCAGTACATCAGGACTGAGCCCAATATCAGTCAAAGGTCCAACTTCCCAGCCAACTGTTTCTTTACCAGTTCAGCCAAAACCACTAGTCCCACCACCAGGACTACAAACACAGTCTCTTAGACAACAGATACCAAGACTAGCCAATAACAAAGCTGGTCAAGTAAATGGTCAAGCTAAAAATAGCTTTGAGAAATTGGTTCAGAGACTTACTACGACTTTTCCACAGTACAACAGGTAAGTTTTTTACATCAGTTCTGTTATCTTTTAGTTTGTATGTTCAGATATTTGTAAATATAGAAATAACTAAGAAACTAAGGTTCCAACCCACTTTGGCAAAGTTGACCTTAGATGAATTTGGCTATTCTATTCTTTTAGAACCCCTATTGATAATCCTGAAAGGCATTTTTTCAGGGGCACAAAATTTATATAAAGTACTATTTTCATTAAGCTAAATTTTAAACAATTTTGTTTTTAAAATTCAGAAAGGTTCAAGGAATATGTAACTTGTAGAAATCCATATAAATTTGCAGAAAAAAATTAAGCAGTACATACAGTTTTTAAATACTTTGTCTTTAAATTACAGAGCTATATTTACCCAATTAATACAACAGCTACGTCAGAATCGTGGAGGATCTCTGTCAGGACTTACCATTGATGAGATAACTCAACAAGTTACACTCATGGTTCAGGCTCATGAACAGAAACAAAACAAAACTCAGGTATTATGCTATTTATTATACCCCACGCAACGGGTTGTTGAGGGTATAATGTTTTTGACCCGTCAGTCCGTCAGTCCTGTTTCTTGTCATCGCAACTCCTCTCAAACCACCCAACAGAATTTCACGAAACCTTTTTAGATAATAAGGACATACTATGTAGTTATGCATATCGACAGGAAATTGTGATTCAGTTTTTTTTCTAGGAGTTACGCCCCTTTGAACTTATTTACTTTAATGTACTACTGCAACAGTTTGTCATCGCAACTCCTCTCAAACCACACAACAGAATTTCATGAAACCTTTTCAGATAATAAGGACATACTACGTAGATGTGCATATCGACAGGAAATTACGATTCAATTTTTTTCCCAGGAGTTACGCCCCTTTGAACTTATTTGCCCAATATCCTACTGCAACCTTTTGTCATCGCAACTCCTCTCAAACCACACAACAGAATTTCATGAAACCTTTTCAGATAATAAGGACATACTCATAGATGTGCATATCGACAGGAAATTACGATTCAATTTTTTTTCCAGGAGTTACGCCCCTTTGAACTTATTTGCCAAATATACTACTGCAACCTTTTGTCATCGCAACTCCTCTCAAACCACACAACAGAATTTCATGAAACCTTTTCAGATAATAAGGACATACTACGTAGATGTGCATATTGACAGGAAATTACGATTCAATTTTTTTTCCAGGAGTTACGCCCCTTTGAACTTATTTACCCAATATACTACTGCAACCTTTTGTCATCGCAACTCCTCTCAAACCACACAACAGAATTTCATGAAACTGTGTAGATAATAAGGACATACTATGTAGATGTGCATATTGACAGGAAATTATGATTCAATTTATTTTTCTGATACAATTTTGTTTTCTTACACTTATTTTATTTCTCATATGACAATGTGGGGACGTGGGGTATGTGAGCGCGCTCACTAAGGTTCTTTCATTGTAAATGCTTGTTGAAAAAAACTTTTTCTGTGTTTTGCATCCCATGTAGTAAAAGTAAAATGTTTAAAGGGACATTTTATGTTTTGTTGTCCTTTATCATTATTTGGTTGAAAATCAAAACATTGAGTGTTGATGTTTAGTTTGCTAGATAAATTATTGTACAAGAGTGGTTTTGATGTTAAAATGGAATCAAACTGTATTGTTTAGTTTATGTTTTTTTCCTTGGCTGGCAGGTTTTGAAAATCATCCAAAACTGAGAAAATATTTAACACCGCTTGAGCTGTTATAAACATAAGCCCAGTTGAATTCTCTGTTTGTAGATTTAAACATTTACTTACTTATGTAGGAACACTGTTCTAAAAATAGCTGAATTCACAGAATATTTTTGACATGACTATGTTTTCTTAAATTATTTCTGATTCTTAGTTATGATAATTTTTAAAATTTGAAAGCTATTGTCATTATATTTATTTTTTTTCAGTGAATGAATTATAACATAAAGATTTTTAGAATTTGAATTTCTTATATGATCAATAAAACAAAACAACAGATAAAACTCACCATTTCAGAATTAAAAGGTCTTAAATTGTACACCAAAATGGAAGTAATGTTAAGTTATTGTCTGCATATATATTTTTTTTCAGACTCTGCTGAATGGGATGTTTTGGTTTAGGCTTTCAAAATATTAACCAGAACACTTTAGGTTTTTAATGGCTATTTTGCCAAAAAAAGCACAGAACAAGAACAAATCTAATTCAGATTCATTTCTTCAGCTGCTTATATTAAATCCTACAAACAGTAATTTGATTACTGCAACATAATTCTGCAACAATAAATTTTTTAGGCTGCTTCTGCTTCTTCTACACCAAAGCCAGCTTTCCCTGGACCAGGACCTGTCAAACCAGTGGCCCCACCACCGGGTCTTAATACATCCTGGGGATTTACTGAATCTTCAAATACATCATCATACAAAGGAGAGGAAGTGTTTGAAGAAGAACAAGATCCTTGTGTCATCTGTCATGAAGAAATGACACCTGATACAACAGTCAGGCTAGAATGTCACCACAGGTTTCATGATGAGGTAAAATAAATTCTGTTGTTCTTTTTATTTGATGATCTATTCTCATCACTTTGTTGTCCGAAAACTTTTACACAAATCTTCCGCTCTGAAACTTATTAATTTTGGAACAGCCCTGAGTGACAAAGGCTCTTTAGAGCCTTTATTATTTTTTTTGGAATGAACCAGAATATCGGAACCAAAAAGGGTGTCAACTTTCAAAACCTCCCCCATCAAAAATGTTATAGGGGAGATTTATCGCAGCACAATTAACTCTGCCATTTCATAGGCTGTTTACAGTTATTTGTAATAGCATTTTCAAGTTACATATATTATTTTGACTTTGATCCAACATTTAGTGAGATTTTAATTGTTGTACAGACTTTCAGTAGGTTCAAAGACATAGCAAGGAATGTCTTTAGATTGAAAATATACTTTTAACTTCAGCCAAAAGCAAGTTCCTCTCTTACCACTTTGGGTACACTTGGCTGTATGAAATTAAAATAATTATTTATTTTTGATATTTTTTGTTTTTTTATGTCCCATCCAGGACTTAAAGAAACGGTTCCTTTTCCTCTATGCTATTTTCAAAAATGTCAGAAAAAACCTGATTTACTGACAGAAAAACTTGAGACTAACTTACAATTGGATGATCTTTGATGCATTCTTAATGAGCATGTGACAATTTCTGCATAGCGAGGGATTAAAATTCCTGTGCACAGAGCAGAAGATACAGAATTTTTGGAAAATATGGAAAAACTTCTTTTGACATTGGGAGAGTTGACACCCATGTAAAATAGATAAATAAATTGACAGTAAGGATTCTATTAAAAATTAAAAATTTATGAAATCAAAAAAAAATTATACATTATTAACACATCAGGTTTGTACTCTAGACAAAACTACTCTAGACGAGAGTTTCGTCTACACAAAAGACTCATCAGTGAATCTTGAATCCAAACGTGAAAAAGGCAAAATAAAGTACAAAGTTGAAGAGCACTAAGGACCCAAAATTCCGAAAGGTTTTGCCAAATACAGCTAAGATAATCTAGTCCTGGGGTAGAAAATCCTTAGTATTTCGAAAAATTCAAAGCTTTGTAAACAGTTAATTTATATTTATGACCATAGCAATGATGATTCATGTCCACATAGAAGTTCTGACGACTGGGCTTATGATACCCTTGGGGAGGAAACCTCCATAAGCAGTGGCATGGACCCAGTGGTTGCAATTAAACTGATCATAGAAACTAGGATTAAAATTTTGTATGGCAGAAGCACATGTCGTCTACAAAAGACTTGTCAGTGATGCTCGAACTGAAAAGTTAAAAAGGCCAAATAAAGTACGAAATTAAAGACCCATAATTCTGAAAGATTTATGGACTTAATTTGATTTCTGGAAAGCTTAATTTAGAGTTTTAGAATTGACTTACAAAATATTACAGTATGTTGAAAATTTTCATGCAGTTTAATTTTTACTGAACTAATAATGATTTCATTTAATTGTTTTCTGCACATGTATTATCATTCACATATTTAAATTCAAAACTGTGTAATGTTTATTTCACACTACCATGCCCTATTATTGGCTATCAGTATGGAAGATGCAATACATAACATGGATCAAAATCTGCTGTACATGAATGCAAAATCCATTGTATTGCATTGGCAATCAAGCACAGACAAAAATCTGCTGTAAAAGATAGCTGAAAATAAGCTTTAATTTCAGAGTATTTTTCTTTTTTACAGTGTATAAGGAAATGGTTAAAAGAGAACAGCACCTGTCCAAACTGTAGAATCTATGCTTTGTTGCCAGATGAATTTCCCACTTTGAACTAATACATGTATAGTTTAAGAATATAATTTCAAAAAGATTGTATGCTGGTGTACTTCTTTACACCATTTGCTTAAAATATTATTAGTTTGGGACAGTTGATATGAAGTTGTAGTTCTTTTTATGAATGTTACAATAATTTGAGGAAAGCCTTCATAATACCTGTACATGATTTTATATTTTATTAAAATCTTTCAGATTTACATGTTTAATTGATATGAGATATTTATTTCAAACAAGTGAAATTATTGTCTTCAGAAATATATAGCATTCATGACCTGTTGACCTCTAGATGTCATGTCTTTTGTGGTCCTGTCATTGTTTTTTTTAATTATTTTTATTATTACTATTATTGGTATTATTTGTTTCCTATATTATTTTAATCTTGTTGTTTAGCCAATGAACATATTCCTTTCACTTGGTCTATTGTCAGCAGATTTTTATCAGTTAGACAGTCTTGATAAATGTATGAATGCGTAATGATTTTAAAATGGAAAATCCAACCCAAAAAGTTTTAACAGAATATTTATAATGTCCATGGTCATGATAGTGAAACTAAACAGCATAAGTAATTATTCAAAACGTTAAATTGATCAGTTGATTATTATACATAATAATTGTGGAAATTATTTAGTTTATTTGTATTTGTTTTATAAAACTAGAAGAAAACTTGATCTTCCTGACCTTTTCTTTCCTGTATTAAAGCAGTTTACAAATTTATCTGTTTCTGAAAAAGTTCACAGTCTTTTAGTGTGCATAGTAAGCAGATATTTATGTACTCCTGTTTTTGTTTATTGTTTTTTTACGTTAAAGCCTAATAACTTTATTTTATCACTCCTAGTTACGACCATTTGAAAAAAAAATGAGAATAAATGAATGCTAACTTAGAAGTAACAACAACAAGAACTGAAAACCTTGTACAGTTAAATGTCAGATCAAAAATTACAAGAAAAAAATGAGTGTTTTATTCTTTATTGAAGATGTCATGAGGTTTTCATTTGTATGAATGTTTTGCATTGTTAAATACAAATGAATTATACTTGTACTTCATCTATTTTAATCAAGTTTTTACTGACAAATAATCAGTCATGTGATGTATCCTTGAAAATTAAGCAAAATAGCATAATTTTTTTTTTTAATTTTTGTTCTGATAATTTTACTGTTACATAAATCAAATTTCTTGTAAGAAGTTAAGAAAAACAAGTCTACCTTCAATGTCTAAAGATTGAAAAATTGACTTGTGAAAATTAAATTTGATTTTGTATGGTTTTATGTTTAGGAAAATGAACAGTTTTCTACCCAGGTTAAGTGTGGTGACAGGTTTACTTGATCTAAGAATCAGTATCTATCTGAATATGTATTGCAGTTTCTTGTTACCAGATAATTGTCTTTTAGACCTGTTACTTCATAATGTTGTGTCCTTGATTCTATTGATGTATCAATAGATTGTTTTTTCATGTTGTATATAAGCATAAACTAATTTTACATACAATAATAAGAAAGTTACATAAAAAGGTACTGAAATAATTATATAACTGACAACACTAGAGAATAAAGCATATATCAAACGCTATTTAACAGTAAAATATAAAAACTGTTTTGGATATAATTATAAAGTATGTTGATGTGAACTTCATAAATCTTTATTTAACGATTTTTAAGAGAGGTCAAATCAAGCGTTATTTTAATTTTGGCCTGCCAATAACGTAATAATAGTTATTAAGTATCAAAATGTTATCCCTCGTTTAAATAAACATATTTTGTATACATGATAATAAAGACTGTAAAAATTATTTTCTTTTTTGTTTTTATATGCCTATGTCAGAAATATGTATGATGAAAACATATAGTTGTTGCTCTGTTTGTGACCAAAAAACATGCTGTTGTTGGTCTGTTAGTGACCAAACACATACTGTTGTTGGTCTGTTTGTGACAAAAAACATACTGTTGTTGGTCTGTTTGTGACAAAAAAACCTGCTGTTGTTGGTCTGTTTGTGACAAAAAACATACTGTTGTTGGTCTGTTGGTGACAAAAACATACTGTTGTTGGTCTGTTTGTGACAAAAACATACTGTTAATGGTCTGTTGGTGACAAACAACATACTGTTGTTAGTCTTTCTGTAACAAAAAACATAACTGTTAATGGTCTGTTTATGACAAAAAACATACTGTTGTTGGTCTGTTGGTAAAAAAAAAACATACTGTTGTTGGTCTGTTGGTAACAAAAAACATACTGTTGTTAGTCTTTCTGTAACAAAAAACATTCTGTTGCTTGTCTAAAAAAAATATACTGTTGTTAGTCTGTCTGTAACAAAAAGCATACTGTTGTTGGTCTGTTTATGACAAAAAACATACTGTTTGTGACAAAAAACATACTGTTTGTGACAAAAAACATACTGTTGTTGGTCTGTTTGTGACAAAAACATACTGTTGTTAGTCTGTCTAACAAAAACATACTGTTGTTGGTCTGTTTGTAAAAAAAACCCATACTGTTGTTAGTCTGTTTGTAACAAATAACATACTGTTGTTAGTCTTAGTGTCTGTAAACAAAAACATACTGCATTGATTTGTTTGCAAGAATAGAAATTTCTCCTTCTGCATGTGAGAATGCATAATGCAAATTTTTCGTTGGATGTAGCCATACATTGGTTTATCCATCCTTGAAGATATTGATTTGATATTTGGTATATAGTTTTATCATGACCAGTTACAGATCAAGTTCGAATTTTGTTTGGTAAGGATGATTTTTAGCTCACCTGGCCCGAAGGGCCAAGTGAGCTTTTCTCATCACTTGGCGTCCGTCGTCATCGTCCGTCGTCGTTAGCTTTTTACAAAAATCTTCTCTGAAACCACTGGGCCAAATTTAACCAAACTTGGCCACAATCATCATTAGGGTATCTAGTTTAAAAAATGTGTCCGATGACCCCGCCACCCAACCAAGATGGCCGCCATGGCTAAAAATAGAACATAGGGGTAAAATGTAGATTTTGGCTTATATCTCTGAAACCAAAGCATTTAGATTAAATCTGACAAGGGTAAAACTGATTATCAGGTCAAGATCTATCTGCCCTGTAATTTTCAGACAAATCTGACAACCTGTTGTTGGGTTGCTGCCCTTGAATTGGTAATTTTAAGGAAATTTTGCAGTTTTTGGTTATTATCTTGAATATTATTATAGATAGAGATAAACTGTAAACAGCAATAATGTTCATCAAAGTAAGATCTACAAATAAGTTGCATGACCAAAATTGTCAGTCGACCCCTTTAGGAGTTATTGCCCTTAATAGTCAATTTTTAACAATTTTTTGTAAATTTTTGTAATCTTTTACAAAAATCTTCTTCTCTGAAACTACTGAGACAAATTTAACCATACTTGGCCATAATCATTATTAGGGTATCTAGTTTTAAAAATTTGTCCGTTGACCCCGCCTTCCAACCATCATGGCCGACTTGGTTAAAAATAGAACATAGGGGTAAAATGCAGTTTTTGGTTCATATCTCTGAAACTAAAGCATTTATAGCAAATCTGACAGGTGGAAAAAATGTTCATCAGATTTAAATTTATCTGCCCTGAAATTTTCAGACAAATCTGACAACCAATTGTTGGGTTGCTGCCCCTGAGTTTTTAATTTTACAGAAATTTTGCAGTTTTTTGTTATTATCTTAGATATCATTATAATATCTAATATCTAATACTATTGATTATGATTTTAACCTTATTTTACATGATTTCCAAAGCATCAGTAAGTACAGGTGAGCGACACAGGCTCTTGAGAGCCTCTAGTTTTATGCCCCCGCCGTAGCGGATGGGGCATTAAGTTTTACCCTTGTATGTCTACGTACGTACGTACGTCCCAAAATTGGTTTCCGTTCTCTAACTTTAGTTTGCCCCAACCAAATATTATGAAACTTATAAGCAATGCTAATTACCACAAAACACAGATCAAGTTTGAATTTTGGTGGCGTGACTTTTACCGTTTTAGAGTTATGCCCCTCTATAAATGGAAAAATTGCTGAATTTTTCGTTTCCGTTCTCTAACTTTAGTTTGCCTCAACCAAATGTTATGAAACTTATACGCAATGCTTATTACCACAAAACACAGATCAAGTTTGAATTTTGGTGGCGTCATTTTTACCGTTCTAGAGTTATGCCCCTTTACAAATGGAAAAACTGCTGAATTTTTCGTTTCCATTCTCTAATTTTAGTTTTTATACGACCGCAAAAAAAAAATTTTTGTGGTCGTATATTGGTATGATGTTGGCGTCGTTGTCGTCGTCCAGCGTCGTCTGAAGACACATTGGTTTTCTATAACTTTAGTTTAAGTGAATGGATCTCTATGAAATTTTACCACAAGGTTCAATACCACAAAAGGAAGGTTGGGATTGTTTTTGGGGGTTATGGTACCAACAGTAAAGGAATTAGGGGCCAAAAAGGGTAAAAAGTAAGCATTTTTGTAACTTCCAGACATAACTTGTGTGTTAGTGTATGGATCTCTCTGACATTGTACCACAAGGTTCCATATCACAAAAGGAATGCTGGGATTGATTTTGGGGGTAATTGCCTCAAAATTTTAGGAATTAGGGGCCAAAAAAGGGGCAAAAAACAAGCATTTTTCTAGTTTCATAACAATAACTTGTGTGTAAGTGTATGGATCTTTCTGAAATTGTACTACAAGGTTCCATATCACAAAGGGAAAGCTGGAATTGAGTTTGGGGGTAATTGCCGAAACGTTTAGGAATTAGGGGCCAAAAATAAGCATTTTTCTAGTTTCCAGACAATAACTTGTTTTCAAGTGTATAGATCTCTCTGAAATTGTACTGCAAGGTACCATACCACAAAGGGAAGGCTGGGATTGATGATGGGGGTAATTGCCTCAATATTTTAGGAATTAGGGGGCAAAAAACAAGCATTTTTCTAGTTTCAGGACAATAACTTGTGTGTAAGTGTATGGATCTTTCTGAAATTGTACTACAAGGTTCCATATCACAAAGGGAAAGCTGGGTTTGAGTTTGGGGGTAATTGCCCTAAACGTTTAGGAATTTGGGGACAAAAAGGGGCCAAAAAACACATTTTTCTAGTTTCCAGACAATAACTTGTGTTCAAGTGTATGGATCTCTCTGAAATTGTACTGCAAGGTACCATTCCACAAAGGGAAGGCTAGGATTGAGTTTGGGGGTGATGAATCATAAGGGGGTTCAAAAAATTTTGGGGGGGGGGGGGGGATTTTTTTTTTTTTCCTTTTTTTTTTTCTTTTAAAATTTTCCATTTTAAGTTGGTTATTTCTGATTTATATTTAAAAGCAAATAATAATGATATGGTAGGAGATACACACCAAACAGGATGTGTAAATTATTATATAATAAGTATTGTGCAATAGCAAGAAATTTTCAATTGCGCAGTATTGCACAATAGCAAGAAATCTTCAATTGCACAGTATTGCGCAATAGCAAGAAATCTTCAATTGCACAGTATTGCGCAATAGCAAGAAATATCCAATAGCACAATATTGTGCAATAGCAAGAAATTGTCAATTGTACAGTATTGCGCAATAGCAAGAAATATTTAATTGCACAGTATTGTGCAAAAGAAGATACTTCGGATAAATTGCTTATTTCTTGACCAATTTCAATGGGGTTTTATTCTTGAATTCTTGGGTTTCTTTAATATGCTGAATCTAACCGTGTATTTAGTTTTTGGATTTTGGGCCCCGTTTTTAAATTGGTCCACATTGAGGTCCAAAGGGTCCAAAATTAAACTTTGTTTGATTTCATCAAAAATTGAATTATTGGGGTTCTTTGATATGCCAAATCTAACCATGTATTTAGATTCTTAATTTTTGGTTCCGTTTTCAAATTGGTCTACATTAAGGTCCAAAGGGTCCAAAATTAAACTTAGTTTGATTTTAACAAAAATTGAATTCTTATGGTTCTTTGATATGCTGAATCTAAACATTTATTTAGATTTTTGATTATGGGCCCAGTTTTCAAGTTGGTCCAAATCGGGGTCTAAAATTAAACTTTGTTTGATTTCAACAAAAAATGAATATATGGGGTTCTTTGATATGCTGAATCTAACCATGTATTTAGATTTTTGATTTTTGGGCCGCGTTATCAACTTTGTCCACATTGAGGTCAAAAGGGTCCAAAATTAAACTTTGTTTGATTTCATCAAAAATTGAATTCTTGGGGTTCTTTGATATGCTGAATCTAACCATGTATTTAGATTTTGGATATTGGACCATAATAGGTGAATGTCCAATTTAAAATTTTTAAGTTCTTAGACCACATTCATTCTGTGTCAGAAACCTATGCTGTGTCAAATATTTAATCACAATCCAAATGCAAAGCTGTATCAAGCTTGAATGTTGTGTCCATACTTGCCCCAACTGTTCAGGGTTCGACCTCTGCGGTCGTATCAAGCTGCGCCCTGCGGAGCATTTTATTTTCTTTAGGGGTTATGGTTCAAACCGTTCAGGAATAAGGGGCAAAAAGGGGGGAGAAACAAGGTTTTTCTGGTTTCCCGACAAATACTTAAGTATTAGTCAATGGATCTCTATGAAATTGTACCACAAGGTTCCATACCACACAAGGTTGGGGTCGATTTTGTTGGGTGTGGCTTTAATCGTTAAGAAACTAGTGGCCAAATATGGCCAAAAACAAGACTTTTCTAATACTGGAAAGCTGGTTCTAACATAAATTATTTCTGATCTATATAAAGAAACAACAAATACTGATATGGCAGGAGATACACACCAAACAGGGTGTGTAAATTATTAATTTAGTTTGTAAACAG